ATTACAGTTAACTAATTTTTTTTCTTAAACTTCAACATTTTGTTATTTAGAAATAACTATTTGCTAATAATATTGTTGCTAAATTTCTATTTAATGAACTTCGATACAACGAAGCATTTAATTAATGAACATTTTGCCCTGTCCTTTGGGGTTCGTTATATCGAATTTCGACTGTGATTGTCTGTGCATAGACAAAACTTACGTCCAGCATTGACCCAATAACCAGAGGATGGCACGGGAGAACATGTTTGGGCTGTTGTCTGGAAAGAAGATAATGAAAAACCTGTTTAGATATTAGGGTCCTAGCATTGTTTTGTTAAGATATAACTGTAGTACTTGCATATTGTTGTATTGGTTTATAAGAGCTCGTATACAACAGTACTATCTAGCAGGCTTTAACAATAGTGTTACCTGTTCAAAGACGGAGAATGCCACAAGAAGAAGACCGGCCAGTTTTTGCATGTTTGAAGAGATGATGGTGGATTGAAGGTTGATGATATTTCCATTCATACCCCTATCTATTTATACGATCCATTTGAACCCCACAGATCAACCTGGAGAGTACCAAAGCACAAGTACAGCCCTTTTTTCCCTTTCATTTCATTCAATAGAACGTCGAGACGAGTCGAAATTTATGGAAATCCAGACAACTTTTTCAAAAATTTGGATTAAAGGGGTCCACATTTGGTCAAAAAAAAGCCAAAATTGAAAAGAATGAACGACGTTGATTCAAAAGAGTGAAAGACAACAATGGACTTTTTGAAATTTATTCAAAGTTACAAACCGATTGACTTTTCCATTGACGGATGGAAAAAGGCAAAATCAAAGTCAAACCACGGGATTATCTGGCACAATTTGTTACTTCCTCATAATTTTGTTATCTTCGTAACTTCTGGGCAAACATTCTAGGCACTTTCGGTTGTTGAACCAGGAAGTCATAAGTGGAACCAGAAAGCGAACCAAATGACTGGGCCTTTGGTAATGATATGAAGTAGACGAGAACATTTTCATTTTGAAAGAAAGCTAATGACTAAAAAAGTTTTGGAAAAAGTAAAAACTATCAGTTCGAGAATAATCATGCATTTTATTTTTTGACAAACAAATTCAACAAATTTCAGTTCGGGAATAGTCATGACAATCAAATTATTTGTTGACAATCAAATTCATCAAGATTTCCGAAAAAGCCAAAAATTCTTCAGCCCGATGCGGGGCTCGAACCCGCGACAGCCAGATTAAGAGTCTGGTGCTCTACCGACTGAGCTAACCGGGCTCGTCTTTCGCGTCACCGGGTCTTGACCCAAATTTCGACCAGTCCGGAGCAACACTTTGACACCTGTCATTTCTGGACCCTTTTGTTATCTAACGCAAAGAAGGGCTTTTCAATCTCAACCATCTTCTATAACTTTGATGAAAATATGTTAAATCAAGATATGATGAAGAAGCTTATACTGACTAACTATCAGTACAAGCTATTATTTCTAACGACTATTATTTACTTTTGTTTTTGATTCAAAGTTCGACCTGATCAACAATATATGTGCAAATAGCACATTGATCAAAAGGGGTGCCAGTGGTTGGAGTAGTGGTCGGAGTAGTGGTTGATGTGGTGGTTGATGTAGTCGTTGTTCTAGTGGTAGTAGTGGTAAGTTTATATAGTAGTGGTGGTTGTCGTGGTAGTCATCTTGGTGGCCCCACCAGCGCACTCTCCCATACCAAACCAGATTTGGTAGACGGATATTAGGTTGAGCACTAATTCTTGATAACACTCTTTGTTTTTTGTTTCATCAGTTTTTATCATAGTTTTTTATAAATTTTTAATATGATAATCAGACATGCATTGCCTAGTTTGGACAAAGTTGATCCAGATCTAATGGCTGGGCTTCAAGGCTGGGCGATTCACACTTTGGTCAATAAAAGTCTTGAAAACGCGCGGGTCTTGCCTTGCCTTTTTGTCTTTTCTTGCGCAAAAAATCTATGTCAATTGCAAAACTTGCGCCGCAAAGCCTGCGCGGCAAAACCTGCGCGGCGCTGTCAAAAGTGAAAGTCGCGTAACGGGAAGTTTTGCGCCATTAAATAAAGCGAAACTTGCGCCGCAAAAGTTATTCAATAGTAAAATTTGCGTCATTTTATTTCAACATTTACGATTTTTATATCTCGTATCACTTGTTTTTCACATTCACTTTTTCTTCACCGTATTTCATCCATGCTAAGTATTAATATTCTAGATAAGAAGGAGTGTAGCAGTCCACACTAACACTCTAACACATATTGAGGTATTTTGTATTGTCCTTGATTTGTAGAATTTCTAATTTTTAGATTATGCAACCAATGTATTCATCGAATGGAAAGAAGCTCATCTTCGAAGAAGCATTTCGAGGAAAGAAGCATTTTGTGTTACGACACGCTCGTACAAACAAAGATGGATCTATGGTTTACAGGTTTTAAACAAAAGACTCTTAAACTTAATCTCCTCATCTAGATGTTTAATGAAAAGTTGCCCTGGCTTAGCAAAACAATTGAATCGACAGACAATCCACAGACATCAGCAATTGTTCCCGTAGCTTTGTAGCGTTGAATCGTGCGGAAAATGACACTTCTGTCGACTTTAAGACGCTTATGAATCTCCGGCGCCGAGACTCCTCGCTTGTGCAATTCGATGATCGATTGTCGATGGGGGATTTTCCAGCCATTCTAAAAAAATACATTTCATATGAAAAACACAAAAAAGCCAGAAATGAAGCTTAAATCAACAAGTTATTGTCCTTGAACTCATCTAAAATGGCTTGAAGACAACGATTCGATGCACTTTTGTCGATCGTAACCTCAAAGAACAACTCAAGGTGCTGGATGGTGCTCAGGATTTGAACATACAGGGTGCGCCATAATTGTCGCAACAGGGTATCACGCGCGTTCATTCTCATTTTCACGTAAACATTAGCTTTGTTGAATTGTATTGAAATTCACAAATAAATCACTCACATATCGACGCCCAAGAAGCCCAATGGCACCGAATCCTTGTTCAAATGATACAACAAGACATAGAATATGGCCAAGGCTCGAAGGGCTTGGATCTCGCCCAATTTGGTGCTCATTCTGAAATTTTTATTTTAAAATTCTAAAAGCTAAAAAATTGAAATTGACAAGCATGATCCACTTCCTTTCTTGCCAATTTTTGTGTCTTTTTGTCTTCGATGAAAAGATCAAAAGGATGAAAGACGAGATCAGAAACGTGCGATTCAAAGCCGCCTCGCAATGCGAATGATTCTGGATTTTCGACTTTTTCCATCTGAAAAGGTTAAAGAATCAAGAACCAGGCATTACGCTAAGTCAAAATAAAAAGCTATAAAGTCTCTTTCATTCAAAAATCGCAAATGAACTTGGGTTCTTTTTAAAGAATTTCATGATTTGTCTTAAATAGAGTACAGTATCGCTTACTATAAATTCCCTTGGATAACGTGATAAACGCTTTCTACAATCGGCATTTCATGTATTGAAATATGCAATATGAAATAAAGCAAAAATAAAATAATGAGTCTTTGAAATGCAAAAAAAGCCAACCTTATTCTTCTCCTGTCTTGTGCGACGCTCTACCCTTGCCAAATTCGGTTCGGATTCTTGAATCTTTTCAGATGGAAAAAGTCGAAAATCCAGAAATTAGCATGAGACTTCTTTATCGCCGTTTCTGATCTCGTCTTTCATCCTTTTGATCTTTTGATCGAAGACAAAAAGACACAAAAATTGGCAAGAAAGAAAGTGGATCATTGTTAATTTCAATTTTTTCGCTTTTAGAATTTTAGAATAAAAATTTCAGAATTAGCACCAAATTGGGCGAGATCCAAGCCCTTCGAGCCTTGGCCATATTCTATGTCTTGTTGTATCATTTGAACAAGGATTCGGTGCCATTGGGATTCTTGGGCGTCGATATGTGAGTGATTTATTTGTGAATTTCAATACAATTCAACAAAGCTAATGTTTACGTGAAAATGATTACAGAGTGTTTACCACAAAGTTTTCCTTTCGACGACACAATGAGTCTCGAGAGTGTTTCCACAGACCTAAATACAGGGTGGCTGAAAAGTTCTGTCCGCTTCTCTTTCTCTCCATCATAAAACTTGTAAAAGTCTAAAGTATCTCAAGTTTTAATGTTTACACAATTTTAATGTTTACTCTACGTCAACTATACAAACCTGGAGATGCAAAAAGTATGGTTTCAAAAAGTTTTTTAGTATTAATCCCTGTGAGCCAATACCGTTTTTCAGTTTGGTCTCGTGTCAATTTTCTACAATTCGTTCTCTAAACCAGAAAATAGAGATGAAAAGGTTAGTACGTGGCTTTACACATGACGCTGATGGGTGTCCGTAAAAATAGTAGCAAATTGTATTGTTTACACTAGCATATTTCATAAGTAGGTAGTAATTAAAGTACGAAACTGTAGAAAAAAGAACTTCTGACTTGGTCTGAAGTAGCGGGACAGACCTGGGAGTTTTGGGATTTTTTTTGCACAACTTTGAATATCATTGATTTTAGAGTACACAAAGTTACAAGAAACGGACAACGGAATATCGTTTAGTAACTGATTACGGTATCTTACCCATCACCATCAGCAAACCACCAAACCAAGCTTGATAGGAATTTGTTGTAACAAAAATGTACATTTGAAATACTCTGACTTTAGCTAATGATCTTTATCAGTATTATTCTCATTTTACTTTAATAACATCTACCTAATGGACTTCCAGGTTCTTTGTGATTTCTGGTTACTTGATGGCTCGAATCTTTTATGACAAGGGTACATCATGGGGGAAATCGTTCACCTTTCTCGAGAGACGTTTCAAAAGAATTATGCCTTGTTATGGGTGGGATTTTAATAAACTTTTTTATTGTACAAATTCAGGTTTATGATTCTCTGTGTTGTTTTGACTGACCGGTTATGTCTGTCTACAGTTGATCGAGACAATCTCTTCGTCGATGCATTCTATTCGATGGGGATTTTTTCAAATATGCAACCATTGTTCACCACTATCGATTGCTTTGAATTGGTGAGTGGTATGTTTAAACGTTAGAAAGACAATTGGTTATCATTTGATACACGCCCCTTTTGCCATTAGCAATCTAACTTTGAGCTCAAATTTCTTGGTGTTGGGCTGTCCAATTAAAATATTCTTAATATCACTAGATGCGCCAAATCTTTCTCTGTCGATTGGTACAAAAACCATTTAAATTGGACAGCCCAACCCCAAGATATTTGAGTTTAAAGTTGGATTGCTAATGGCAAAGGGGGCGGGGCACGTATAAAAGATCCGTCATCCGGCCCCTTTTGCCAGTAGCAATCTAATTTTGAGGTGTCATTGGATGCGCCAAGTCTTTATCTGTCGATTGGTACAAAAACCATTTAAATTGGACAGCCCAACACCAAGATATTTGAGCTCAAAGTGGGATTGTCAACTCCTGCCTGCATTATGTTCTTTTCTACTACAGAAGGCGTGCCAACTTTCAAATCCTATAAAAACCTTACAAGCCCTAATATCAGCCCTTTTCGGTTGAATCTGTTTAAACGTGAGCTAAAAATTATCGTAGATGGATACACGATAGATGGAGCAGAAAAAGTAAGAAGAGATGCCAACACCCAAACTTACTTCTAAAGTCTCTCAATCTTCATGTGACTTCCAGAATTCAGTTTTCTTTTGGTTTCAATGCTCTACGAGTTGTTTAAAGGCATAAAACAGTCTCGGTTTAGTTACGCAATTTTGACTGATCCTCAAAATGACGAAAACTTACTTCTAAAGTCTCTCAATCTTCACGTGACTTCCAGAATTCAGTTTTCTTTTGGTTTCAATGCTCTACGAGTTGTTTAAAGGCATAAAACAATCCCGGTTTAGTTACGCAACTAAGTGATACTCAATTTTGACTGAAACTTTAAGTGATACTTTTCTAGATCAAAATTTAACGAGAAATTCGAAAAACGTGGTTTCGGAAGTATTGGAGCCAGCTGTCATAGAGAAAAAATTCATTCGGAAAGTTGTAATTTTCAGTGATCATCTTTGAAGATAAGAAATGCTTCAAAAATTATTGGGCAACATTGGGCTGTCCAATTTAAATGGTTTTTGTACCAATCGACAGAGAAGGATTTGGCGCATCAAGTGATACTAAGGATATTTAAATTGGACAGCCCAACACCAAGATATTTGAGTTTAAAGTTGGATTGCTAATGGCAAAAGGGGCGCGGCGCGTATCAAATTTCCGATAACCTAGCAAAAAAAGAATTATTTGATTTGAGTCATCGAGAACTGAGCTAGACTCAAAAAAATCGATAAAGTTACCATAATTTTCCTGTAGCAATCATTTCCATCTATGATCAATATAAAGCAATTGTATTCATTAATCAGCAGTGCAATACAAACTCACAACTAAAACTCAAGTGGAAAGCGTGGAGTCTACAGCTTGCGGTATGCAGACTATGCATTTTGTGTGCACTTTTTCTCTTTAAAGTTCATCAAAACATCAAATTATCTTATACAAATCCTTTTCAGATCTCCGAGTACAAATTCCTCGCCCACACATGGTCTCTGTCAGTGGAGATGCAATTCTATCTCTTTGTGCCATTAATATTTTGGATGCTTCAATCGATTTCCGATCGATCAAAATACATTGCGATGGGAATCCTGGCTTTTTTATCATTGATGGCTGAAATGGTTGGTAACTATGGTTATTAAAATTCAGTTTGTTTAGATCTTCCCAGCCTCTATCGGATTTGGGCTCCTCATTTCTCGACTTTGGCAATTTATATTTGGAATCTCAATTCATATCTTCTTCAAGCCAAAACCACAGAGTAGCAATCTTGAAAAAGAAGTTGAAGCATTACTGGAATCAAATCACGATGGTAATGAGGATCCTTCTGATCAGAAGACGTCAAAAGGTAGGCACTTCCAAAAATTCGGATACTTGAAAATTGAATTGTATTGGAAAATTTAGTTGGGTATGAAAAATATGTTTATGGCAAAATATGTTTATGTTTATGGCAGACATCCTCAAACTTTTGCTAGAAATCGAATGGAGGTACATCTGTGATTTACTATATATAAAAGGGAGAATTGGTAGGTTTAATTGAGGGAATGAGATAAAAGGGTGGGAGGGGTGAATGGTAAAAGCTGAAGAGGTTAAAAGGGAATGAATGAGGTGGGTATTGGTGAGTTATGAGGAAATCGAAGTGGTTAGAAGATGGATCGAAGTGGTTAGAGGAAATAGCGGTGAGAAGGATTGGGATGTGATAAAGTCGGGAAATAGTAGACTGAAACGGGGCAAGCCTTTGCTATTGTAGAAAAGAAAGAGGGTATGGAATAGGCTTTGGTGATAATCTGGCGATAATCTTTAGTGATAATCTCGACCGATTGGGACTCCGACCTTCCAGCGGTTTTGAAACCACTGGCTAATCTATAAAAGTGCTAATACCGTATTCTCTCTAATAGTAATGTACCCCGCCGAGCAGAGTTGATGCCTAGTTTACGGTTTCGAAGTTTTCTCAGAAGCTCAACACTCTAATCTCCCATAAGATCTCATCGTCAGCTTCATTTTCCGATCGCACATCGATAGATTCTGATAAGCGGTTCTCGAGATTTCGAGCAATTTAGACAACGCTCAGGGTGCACTACGATTAGAGAGAATACGGTAATCTAACCAGTATCTGTCCTATATGTACTAATCATAATAAGGTTGATTCAGCTGCCTTTCAAAAACGTTCAAATTCTAGGCAACCTTCCAAATGGCAATCGATAAAGTATACAGTTTGTTGGACAGAAAAACGTGATGTTTTGCTTATTGTTTATTAGTTGAATGCGCATTTACTTACAATTTTATATAGAAAGTACCATTTACTAGTGAAAGATTATATATCACAAGAGATAGATGTATGCTTTAAATAAACTTTTCTGGGTTTTGTAAACAAATACACTTTCAAAATGGAGTTTACAGTGTAAACGACAAAGAAAAGAAGCTTTTTTTGAGTGCCGCTTCACCAAAAACCCTGATTTTGAACAATTTTTTGACACTTATCTCCTGATATGACATGACACGAGCCTATTTATATGATTCGACATATTAGATAAATAAAAGTTCAATTTCTAAAGACGATTGCGTATTTTAATTTGAACTACTTTAAAAATAAGGCACACAATTACAAGGTCAAGTCTCTTGTGAACTGTTTTAGGTGCAAAATGGTCTATATTTCTTGTTTACTAATAAATCTAGACAGCAATGCAACAAGTAGGATATCATAAACTTTTTAACGTCCTTTTTGATGAAAATACACACAAAATTCGTTGACCAAGATCAACTTTTACGGAAACTAAAGGGAAAATGATTATGATTTTACCAGGAAACAAAAAAGGATAAACGATTTTTGTAGATATTACATTTCCGTTAAGAAGTTCAAAAGCGATACGAAATATTCTAGATTACAATGATATAATAATCATTGGATTTCTTGATTTCTAGATTTCTTGGATTAATGATCATTTTTAGGTCAAAGAAAACCCATTTCCCTTGCAGCAAATCGCTGTCATTTCTCTCGAGAACGGCACTTGTTTTCCAAGAAATTTTGCCAAATTGAAGTTGTCAACAAAGTATTTTTGTTTATTATTTATCTTTATTCCACATTAAAATTTTTGAGAACAGCATGTGAATAAAGTTTTAGTGTTTTTTTGAGGTTCAAGTATGATTATATTGACTTGTTGAGTCTTACGATCACTTTCCTTTACAAATGGATCGCTCGGTTCAGGTTCAACCGGGTCGGACAATTCAGCTGTTTGATTCTGACAGCTTGACTGCTGACAGCTGATATGTGTTAGCTTTTAAAACCAGTATAATACTTTCATTTATTATGTGAACGTGTCAGATTTGCAAGCATGTAGTGAACCATTGTTAAATATTAGAAACCAGCGGAAAACGCGTTGGGGAGAACTACCGTAACCGATGTTAAGCCCCGCCCCTTTTTAAAAATAGACCTAAAAGACAGATTCCCCATAGCCGAAAACCCCCCGGGAGCAAAATATCAAAAGCTGAATACTTTGCCTTTTAACCGATGTAGCAAACGTAATTATGGAGCGTCGCGTTTGCACACAAACAGACGGACTTCTCTTCTGCTTTATATATAGTAGAATTGACGGCGCTGTTTTGAACGTTTTCTATTTGGCGTTGTTTTAACCACATCCCCTTTCGACCCCATTGCCGCAGTGGATGGGAGGCGCGAGTGCTAGACGAATGGGCGGCTGGAAAGTGGCGACTTCGATCCCGGACAGGGTCTAAACGCTTGATCGTTTTGTGAAATAGAAATATGTAAACTGAACTTTCTCTTTCTCAAAGCTGAGAGGCAGATCTGGTAAGTTTGGCCCCTGCTAAAGGTAAAATGGATTACTTGGGCAAGTAAGAATTTTTGAATATTATAGTTTTACTTATTTGTCTATTCGTCTATCACCATGTTTGTCTTAACAGTTGAGCTTTGCAGAAGGTAAAACGTCTCACCAAGAGTAATCGAGAGTGAGTAATAAAATTTTAACTTTTTACTTTTTGATGTCAAATTTCTGGAAAAGAATGAACTCGCCGGATTTTTGGCAAGAATGAAAAAAGAAATAGTTATATGGGTAAATTTCAAATGCTCAATTTACCAAGTTATCAAAAATTGACTAAAGGAGTGGCTTAATTTTCTTTCTTGTCGACTCATTGTTGTTTTTTCAATACAAACACGATGATTCATTGCTAGAACTACTTCTAGAAAATCTTATTTTAAAGAATTTCCCGGATAAATTCGCTAAAATCTCTCTTTAAAATCAGTCGACTTAAAGAGAAAGATCTTTAAAAATCACCGTGATCCAATGATCATTGGGCGGAAAGGGTATTTTTAGGACAAAGCGAAAAAAAGAAAAGAAAGACAAATCTCTGTCACTTTTTTCGTTCTTTCGAGAACAACGGCACGTGTTTATTTCAAGAAATCTCCGGTTTTTTCAGCAAACTGAAGTAATCAACAAAATAATCAACAACTATATAACAATCTTGCAAGCAGTATGGGACTAAATTCTCATTGGCTTTTGGAAGTTCAGAGATGGTCAAAGAGGAAAAAACTAGCTCGCTGAGCCTCAGGTAACTTGACATGCTTTGCTTTTTGAAGAGTTTTGCTTTTAGATTCTTTTTTTTTATTTAATGTTTTTAACTTTAGATACTACTTGACCGTTTTTACAGTCGTTCTTGGAGGAAGCTCTCAATTTTACAGGTCTGTCCATATTCTACTAGTTGCTAAGCTCGAATAAAGTTCTTAATATTGCAAATACTTAAAAGATTTGTAAAGAAACTCTAGCCATTTCTGGCTTTTTCAGTTTTTGTATTGTGAATCAAGTTCAACGCGTGATCATGGAATGGATTGAAACGACGTATGAAGCGAGGCTCGATGTGGAACTTAATGAGGTTTTTTCTATTAAAAATTAGCTTTAAATTGTTGTATTTTTTGGTATCTATACTAAACAAGGAGACAAACATTAAATGATAAATAAATGAACTCTAATTGTAATTCTAAACCTTCAATGTATGTATCAAGTAAACTTACAATTTCTCAGGTCACTCTGCACACGATTTGGTCGGTCATCGTTGGATCGCTCTCAATCGGAGCACTCATTGGAGCGTTTCTCGTCAAGTTCGCATTTCATTTACACATTCAAAAGAAATTTGAAAAATTTAAAATTCAAAAACAACAATCTAGAACTTTGTCGGAAAAGTATGGCCGAAAAAATACCCTGCTGATCAATGGAGTGCTCAATGTGATTGGAGCGGCAATCGTTTTCCTTGCTAAGCCATTCAGGTAATTGAATCAGCATTAATCGGTTTAAAATATATTTTAGTCTTCCTGAACTTCTTGTTCTTGGTCGTTTCATTCTTGGAATGAACATTGGTTTAACCTCGGGAGTGATTCCACTCTACCTAACCGAGTTGACGCCAGCTCGCCACCGGGCAGCTGCCGGTGGATTGCACTTGGTGAGTACGTGGAATTTATTTATTTAAATGTTCTATAAAATTCTTAGATAGCTGTTGCCTTTTCCAATGCCTTTGCTTTGTTCATCGGCCTACCGGAAATCCTTGGCAGTGTCGAGTATTGGCCTTTTGCCTTTGGACTGCCAGGAGTTTTGGCCCTGTCGCTCTGTACCATTTTGCCATTTTGTCCAGAGTCTCCAAAGTATGAAAACTTTTAAGACTTATTAAAATTCTAAGCTTTAGATTCTTGTTGAACAATCGAGGAGACTCGGATGGAACACGAAATGTTTTAATGAAAATTGTTGGAGAGGCTGGCGTTGACGCTGAATTTCAAGTTTTACTGGAAGAAACTTGTGACGAAGAAGAGGTAAAGTAGCCCAAACCCTACAAAAAGTTGGGGTTTCAAAAGCTCAAAGGAAAATTCCAGAATCACAATGGACACCTCACTGATCTCTGCAAAAGTCCCGATTTGCATTTCCCAACACTGATGGCCGTGCTTGTGATGGTGGCTGTTCAGTTTAGTGGACTTTCGGCTGTAATGGGCTACTCAACAAACATGTTCATCAAGGCAAGGCTTGACTCGTAAGTTCTACTTTCTCGAACTCAAGTATTTTTTGAATCCTACGGAATTTCAGTAAGAAAGATGTGAAATAGAAAGTTACCAGTGTTCTCTTTCAAGCAAACTTATCGTTATCCCTGGCTCAGTAATTACCGTAAAAGCTGTAATAGTAGCCCCGGGGACATTATTGTTTCGTTGGCCCTCTATGGGGGTCACTATTAGAGGGGGCTTATTTTTTCGTTGGCTCTCTAGGGAGGTGGGGCAACTATTGGAGGGGGGTCAACTATTGGAGGAGGAGCTACTATTGGAGGAGGAGCTACTATTGGAGGAGGAGCTACTATTAGAGGGGCGGGCTACTATTACAGCTTTTACGATATACAGGGTTCGTCAGATGTTCAAAAAAACCAGTTCCCCTTAGTTTTCCAAAAATTTCTGGTGGATCCTGGTGGTCGTTGTGGCCAAAATCTTAGTCTTAGAATGATCTTAGAAATCTTAGAAAGCCAAAACGATGCATTCACGCAACACTATATGTGTCGCACCCTATAGACTAGCTCAATCTGTTTGTAAGAACTAAAGCTTACGTATTCGGTGACAAGTTGCATTTTCTTTCAGAAGTCTAGCAAGATACGCCACTCTGGGAGTCGGTATCATGTACTTCTTGAGCTCGTGTCTTGCTCCATTCATGGTAGAGCGGCTCAAGAGAAGATCTTTCTATCTATTCCAAGTGAGTTTTCATTTCAAATCATTTTCAAATTAGATTTTTATCGTTTCTCTGTAAATGCAAAATGTTTTACAGCGTATTGCATCATTGGCTTGCTTGATCTGCTTCACGTTTTTCACTGGAGTTCAACAATATGAGCATGTGAGTCAAATTTTCATGTATTTCAAGCAATCTAGCGTATAACCCTTTAAATTTTCTAATTGTCTTTTGTCTGAGCTCACTAATAATCCTAAGCCTTTCAGAAAGAATGGGCCAGCTATGGAACGATCACTTCGTTGGTCATTTTCATGTTTCTTTATGGAGTCGGCTCTCCACTTCCCTGGATCATCAATTTGGAGTTATTCAGTCAAAAGGTTCTTGTTAACATTAAGGAAAAGAATAATAAGTGCACTAGCGTTAAATGGAAATTTTCAAGTTCACACGAAGATTAAAAAAAATTTGAGCAATTACCTATTCTAGGCTTAAATCGCTTTTTCTTGCTTACTAGTTAAAAGTTGAAACAAAAAAAGAACAACTATAGATAAATGATTTCATTAAATTACCAGAAAGTTCCTTGCACTTTTCTCACTAAAATTTTTGCAGTACAAATCAGCGGGAATGAGCGTCTCAGTCTTCACCGTTTACGGTCTCGCTTTCCTCATCATGCTCTTTTATTTGCCCTTTCAACAGGTGAAAACATTGTTGAAATTTGAAATCAAACTCTAATTTAACAAAGTTTCCTTTGATCAGTTCTACACTCTGTCAAAAAATTGTTTATATACGCTGTTTTTTGCTAGTTTTAAGTGCGCTATGGCAACTATTATGTTAGAGAGTCTTTTTCTTAGTTTCTTTACCTCAAAAAAATAGCACCATTTCAACAAATCAAAGTCCAGAAACGTACAGAGTACGTTTTCAGGACTGTCAAAAAATTATAGACGCACTTTTATTTTATCAAGAAAAAGTTAACAAATAAAAATAACAAAAAAAATCAAATAAATTAAATAATGTGTGGGCGGTTCTTGCTTGAAAAAGACGTCTTGGCATCAAAGTGACAAGGTTTTGGAGCACTATCGGCTGAAGTCGATTTCGAGACAGCAATGAAAGACTCCACAGTGAGTCACATACTGGACGCCCTCTAGAAATCTCAAATGACGATTTGCTTAATGCTATTGAAATCGATCCCACATTTACGCTTCGGAAATCAGAAGAATTGGTACTTATTGATTACATTATTGATTCTAAATTAGCATACGGATGTATCATGTTGATCACACGGCTCTTTTTTAAGGCAAGGAATTGATTTTCATGGGAAAATTTGAAGAGACGCATAGCGAATAGCGTGTGGAATAATATAAAATTAAGTGCGAGCGTTTGTTGCTTTCAATTTTAAATTTTTTTTGCAGGATTTTAGAAATAAAAATTAAGAGAACGGATCGTGTAATTAATACGATGCACCAACTTAAATTTGCATAAAAACGGGCCGTGTAATCAATAAGTACCGCAGAATTTTTCGATGTTAGCTAGGTGACAATTGAAAGTCATTTGCATCAACTTGGGAAAAAGATTCCACATGGAAAATGGGTTCCACATGAGCTCCAAGGTAACAAAATAGCTCGTGTCACCGTGTGCTTCATCTCGCTTCAAAAATACAAATCAAACGATGTTTTTTGACAGAATCTTGACTTCTTATGAGACTTAGATCAGTTATGACAATAGACAACAGTTATGACAATTACGAAAAAATCAATGGCTCTTTGCTGGTAAAACCCCGCAAACCACCCCCAAGCCCGATCTGCGTCTATAATTTATTGATAACTGGTAAAACGTTTTTTGTACGATACTTTTGATGAGCAAAATGACTTGAAATTAATTTTACATGGAATGTTTTTTACGTTAAAGAAACCAAAAAATACTTTTCACTAGCACTTATGGCTTGCAAAAACTAGCAAAAAACAGGGTACATCTATAATTTTTTGATAGATTGTAGAAAGAACCTAGAAGAATCAAGTTGGAACTTCTTTGTTTTCTTGAGGGATATTGAAACTGTAAGCTTAATGAGGCAAAGAACAGTCTGCATTAGCCTTGTGATCCTTTTCAGACCAAAATTGTAAATTTTATAACACTTCATAAAGTTTCGGTGACAATGCCAAATGTTACAAGTGATCTGTAAAGTTTTTCTTTTCAGCTAGTCGGCGTCACATTCAGTTACCTTCCCTTCATCACGATCAGCACCATTTGCTGCATTTTGTTGTACAAATACTTGCCAGGTAGAATTTTTCCCTTTCTTCGTTCAATTCTTGACAAAGTTTACCTCCAAGGAAACCTTAATGGCTGCAAAACCTGAAAAGTTTCAGAAACTGGAGACTCCGAAACCAAAGAAAAACCTCACCCGATTCGTGCTTCAACCCGATCGTTTAACTATCGAATGGCATGACAATCTGGTTACAATTGAATCTAATAATAATTTGATTACAGTTGATGCATTTTTGTGCAATTGAACTTGTACAGTTTTTCAGCTTTTGCAAGTTGTACAGTAGTTGAATTCTTTTAAGTGCTCAAAACTTCGCGATCTCCTTGTCTTTTCATTTTTTTGGTTTTTAGAAGAGAATTAAAACCTGAAATCCTCTGGGCTCATAATAAATTTCTTTCTAAAGATTTTAATTAGCGATTGACAGCAAATCTTGAACAATAAACGAATTCTCTCAAAAGAGAATTCTCGAAAAGTGCGCTGAAGCCGAAAAAATTCAACAACTTTAAACGATGAATGGTGCATAAATAAAAAACTTTTTGGGATTTTATTTCCTAAAAACGATTCGAACAGGTGGAAGCACGTTCACGTAATTTTGATTGATGGCCATCGTCGATTCTTTGACTTGCGCTCGCTTCAATATTCCTTTCAAACGCTGTAAATGGAGATTAAATACCGCCCAGGATTGGCAAAAGAAGGCAAAGCCAAGCCAAAGCCAATGACTTTCAACCTTTGTGCCTGCCTTTGTCTGGAATTTCAGTCTTACTGTTGGATTTGACCTGATTGTGCCTAAGCTTTTGGCTTTGGCTTTGATTTGCCTTGAAAGTTTTGCTTTTTTGTCGGTTATCGAACATTTGATTACCCCTCATCCCTTTTGCCATTGGCAATCCAACTTTGAGCTCAAATTTCTTGGTGTTGGGCTGTCCAATTTAAATAATTTTTGTAGCAATCGACAGAGAAAGACTTGGCGCATCCAGTGATACCAAGAATATTTAAATGGAACAGCGCAACGCCAAGATATCAAATGTCCAAAAATCGGTACTGTCCATTTATATCCCCAGAAATCTACTCATTTGCACTCAAATTTTGATGATATCCGATGCGGTAGAGAATAAAATTCCAAGTTTTGCTTAGCAATAAAACAATTTTGGGTGTATTGTACTAAATTTCTTGACTTACCTGAAAGCGCATGAAGAAAAAGTCGCGATAAAATTTTGTCACGAAAAGCACGATGAAGCAATTTCCCGATGAGTGAAGTGACATCACAGCAAAGCCATTCGACAAGTACCAACCTGATTGCAAAATTAGAATTAGTTTTAAATTCGAAAACTATTATACCCATTCGATCCAAACGATCTCCGAGAAGAATAGTCGATAAAGCACCAAGTATCGGGATCAACAAACAAAATGCAACAAAGAAACCTCCCTAAATGAGTTTACTGCACTCTCTACAGCATGATCTACAGTTCCTTTAGGATCCAGTCCGGACTTTATCATATCATGTTGTAAATAGACATTATCTTTTATATTTTAAAAATATTCCACCATAAAGATTGATTAATTTGATTAGTTATTCGATCCCACTTGAGCAATAGAGACTCGAAACAATTGTTCATGCATCATTTTCGTTTTGAGACTCTTTGAAGAAACCAAATGGGGAAGTTTTGACAAAAGAATTATGGTGGTAATAACGTAACTAAATATGTCGAATATCTGCTTTTTGACGAGAAAAAAATACCTTATTATGAGAAGAATAAACATCCCAATGCCTAGCCAAATAAAGATAACACCTGGACTGTTGAAAATCGGTGCAAGACTCAAAGTTGAAAAATTCTGAAAATTAAACTTTTTCAATAGTGGACTTTATTTTTGTTTTTTTCTGGTCGGGTTTTAGCCTACAGGTTATTTGATACGCGCCTTGCCCCTTTTGCTATTAGCAATCCAACTTTAAACTCAAATATCTTGGTGTTGGGTTGTCCAATTTCACATTCTTGGCATCGTTGGATGCGTCAAGTCTTTCTCTGTCGATTGGTACAAAAACTATTGAAATTGGACAGCCCAACACCAAGATATTTGAGTTTAAAGTTGGATAGCTAATGGCAAAGGGGGCGGGGCACGTATAAAAGGTCCGTCATCCGGCCCCTTTCGCCATCTAACTTTGAGCTCAAATTTCTTGATGTTGGGCTGTCCAATTTAAATAATATTGAATAAATCAATTGTCTATTTTTGGTGACAATTCATACCCACCAATCCAATCGAACCAAATGAAAAGTGTAAGATTACCGAATTATTGGGCGTTGCCTGTATACTGATAATTAGCAAACGGTCACAAGAGCCAAGAAGGACCAAAATAGTTGCAAACAAAATTATGGCAAAAATCTGGAAACATTTTCTGAAAACTTTGCAACTTTCATACTTTGTAGAGTCTCCGGAAAAAGGTTTTCTTTATCGGTGGCGATAAAGAGATGACACGATGCGTGTAGATGAGACTTTGGAGAAAAAAATGAGTCAGAAATAAAAACACAAAGATGTTCTGTGAAATTTTATATCAAATGCCAGTTTTAGCACACTCACTCCCATCACTAGGATATCCCAAGGTGCCAACTTTCTTGAACTCATCGAGATCACGGTGTAAGGATAGATGAAAACTTGGCAGAAAAATGTTTGTAAAAAGGTGAGCAACATCGAACAAGTCTAAAGTTAACTTTTCTGGTTTTGTAAAACGAAGATTTTATGTAACGAAGTGAAAATCTTATCCAGGATTAAGGGCTGTCAGTACAGGAACGGTGTTTTTCTCACTTCTAAACTGTGTTAACTTTTAAAAACTAACATAACCTTGCATTTTCATACAATGATTTACTTTTGGTATCATTTTTAAACTCTTGGTGTTGTTTACAAGAGCCATTGTGGAAAATAAGAATAATTAAGAATGCTGTACTTTCCTGGTAGTTCAGTGTTAGAATATACAGGGTGACCAAGAATTACCGCAACACACAAAAGGCCTGGCTTTTAACCAAATATGCAACCCATCTCGAAAAGTTAACTTAAATATCTTTATTCAATATATAACAGTAACAAATTAACAATTAAATTCAAATTTGCCTCCATCGGCATCCAGACAGGCCTGACGGAGCTTCTCTTCAGACCCATTTTCTGTGCCATTCCTCGAGCCGATTGGTTAGGGTTTAATCTTAGACGATCGCGCACTTTCTTGACATTAGCCGGAGTAAGCGCTGTTCGTTTTGCCCCTCTTCCAGGGCGATCAGAAACTGTGCCCAGGGTTTCAGAACTTTGAATGGTTCGAGAAACGAGGCTTCTGGGGACATTCAGGCGCTTTGAGATCTCGCTCGCCTGAACAGGCTGCCGCTAGAGCTCAATTGTCGATGTGGAGACGCTTTCACCATTCCTGAAAACAACCATACTAATGTATTGAAAGTTAGTAATCATACCATAAAATAAGAAAAATACACAAAAGCCATAAAAAACAGGTAAGCAAAAAGTGAAATGGGGCTCATAACATAATACGACGTTGTTGCGGCAATTCTTGGTCACCCTGTAGACTCGAAACTGATTTACACAAAGAGATCTTATAGAGAAAGTGGAAGAGATTTAGAAACATAAAGCACAATATAAACTAGAGATTATGAATCCAAAGAAATATCAGAAATTCGCTCTATAGATTTCGGCATAGTCAGAGTTTCAAGAAGAAGCTCTATAGTTATTCAGTAAAATTCTAGACTTACAATGATACCCATTTGAATTCGCCTGAACGTTTGCAAAGCATCCGGCGCTTTAACAAACGCCAATATACCAATGCTAAATGGACAAATCAGAATATCGACACAAGATGGGATGAAATAAATCGTTTCGAGAATCAAACGATCTTCAACAGTTGGTTCGTACATTTTAGAAAATTTTGAATCGATCGAATCCGTGAGAAAAGTTAGGCAACTTTCCCCGGAAAGCTGAAAGGTCAGACAGGTGGTTTTTCAAAAACTTTTATGTTACTTTTAATTAGCTTTCAGCTTGTACAAAATAGGGGATGGATAAAAGGGATCTTTTTTTTGCGCACCCGGGACATTTGCGCACCGGACATTTGCGCACCCGGACATTGCGCACCCGGGACATTTGCACCCGGACATTTGCGCACCCGGGACATTTGCGCACCCGGGACATTTGCGCACCCGGGACATTTGCGCACCCGGGACATTTGCGCACCCGGGACATTGCGCACCGGGACATTTGCGCACCCGGGACATTTGCGCACCCGGGACATTTGCGCACCCGGGACATTTGCGCACCGGGACATTTGCGCACCCGGGACTTTGCGCACCCGGGACATTTGCGCACCCGGGACATTTGCGCACCCGGGACATTTGCGCACCCGGGACATTTGCGCACCCGGGACATTTGCGCACCCGGGACATTTGCGCACCCGGGACATTTGCGCACCCGGGACATTTGCGCACCCGGGACATTTGCGCACCCGGGACATTTGCGCACCCGGGACATTTGCGCACCCGGGACATTTGCGCACCCGGGACATTTGCGCACCTGGGACATTTGCGCACCCGGGACATTTGCGCAACCCGGGACATTTGCGCACCCGGGACATTTGCGCACCGGGGACATTTGCGCACCGGGACATTTGCGCCCGGGACATTTGCGCACCGGGGACATTTGCGCACCGGGGACATTTGCGCACCGGGGACATTTGCGCACCGGGGACATTTGCGCACCGGGGACATTTGCGCACCGGGGACATTTGCGCACCGGGGACATTTGCGCACCGGGGACATTTGCGCACCGGGGACATTTGCGCACCGGGGACATTTGCGCACCGGGGACATTTGCGCACCGGGGACATTTGCGCACCGGGGCATTTGCGCACCGGGGACATTTGCGCACCGGGGACATTTGCGCACCGGGGACATTGCGCACCGGGGACATTTGCGCACCGGGGACATTTGGCACCGGGGATTTGCGCACCGGGGATTTGCGCACCGGGGACATTTGCGCACGGGGACATTTGCGCAGGGGACATTTGCGCACCGGGGACATTTCCTGTCTTGATATTCTTGATTTTAGTTTTTTTTTCAATCCAAAGCACTTTATCAATCAAAACATATTAGGCTAGCCGATAAATTCGTAGAATTTTTTTATCAAGTTTAAAAATTTAATTTCTCAAAAACCTCACCATCAATCTTTCTGAAAATTACAGTAACTTTTAATAAAAGTGAAAGGTTTTTTTTGCCAAAAGATTAGGTTTCCTTTACCTTATAACTTTCTATAAAAATTGTAAAGAACAGTTTTTAACGTTAACTTGATCTCAATTTTTTTTCACCACTAAAACCTCATAAAAAATTAAACGACCACCACGAAACCATGTCAAAATTTTATTGATAATCTTTTTAACCTTTGGATAAAAAGTCCATTTAAAAATTGCTTTTTTTGCGTTTTCCATTTTTACACTGATGATCCTAAAAAGGTGCGTATTTTAAAAATAAAGCTTTATATGTAAAACAATTCCACCAGAAAAATTCCCAGTTTTTTTTAAACTTCATTTTGTTTTTGGGTTTATCTTTTTATCGAAAAATTAGACTATGGAAAATTTGATTGAAGACAGTTCACTTAAAAGGCCCCAGAAACCAATCAACTAATGAAATCTTCAAAACTAGCCGTACGATTGGTCTCATATTTTGACAAAAACTTTTTCAATGATAGGTATATTTGCTGCAAAATTTTTAGAAAAATTGATGGTGGGGTTTTTGAGAAATTACACTTTAAAATTTGATTAAAAAAATTACCGGCTAGCCTAATCACATTTTATTCAACAAACAACAGCTCATTCAACAAATAACGAAGAGCTTTCGACAAACTTTAATGAGCAAACTAGCATCAATTTCTTGTCTTTTTAATTTTCATGTCTCTCTCAGCTATTTCCATAACTTTCATTGATGATTTTTGTCTTTAGAGCTGTGCAATGACTCAATGTGAGCAAGCAAAGGACCCAGCAGAAGGTTCAATGAGCCCCAAAGAGAAAATCACAAGAGAAGAACTACAGAATGCAATCGAGGAAGTCGACAATTGCCCTTTAAACTTAAATGATGAATGGTGTGAGTATATTTTTACTCCAAAAGCAATTAAATTTTAGGTATATGGTTGCAATGAAATGGTGGAAACAACTGACATTGGCGCTTAACAAGGGCTTTGTCGAAGATGTGCCAAAAATTGAGAATGCTAGCGTTTCTGAAATGAAGGGTAACTTTTTTGTTACCAGCATACCCAAAAACTCTTATGGTTTAGATGGTCATTATTTTTTGAGACCCCATCTTGTCGAGAAATTGGATTACATGCTCCTGCCACAAAAGGTAAAATCTATCCTACTGTTAGCTAAAGCTCTTCTTTAGACCTTTAATCTATTGCTCAATGAATTTGGGGTAGAAGATGAAAACCGTGATGTAATACAACGAAAGGTTCAATTGAATCCAGTCCGGGGAGATCTCTTCATTGAAGTTTATGCTAAATTTCTCACCGTTGACTTGAAGAACTTTTCATTTTGCAAAAGATTCTAGGTTGCTCTTGTTAAAGCGGTTCTACCGGTTTCGATGGAGGATAACGTTAGTAAGTACTTTTGTAATTCTTGAACAAGCACTTCGTGAGCACTCGAATTACATTTTACTTTAGAAACTCTGAGTGCAAAAGCCGCTCAGGCTCTTGGCGTGGAAGAAATTCCCCACAACAAATTGCGGTTTTACATTTATCATCAGGTAAGGTTTTTTGCAAGAAATTTGACTGTACGAGTTTTAGGAAAATGATCGTTACGAGCTGTTAAATCTTGATATGAAGCATAGCTGCGAGCATTTCTTCTCTTTTAATCAATTGGTTCGTTTAAAGTTTAAAGTTAACGAGTCATTCATAATTATTTTGCTCCAGCTTTTGGTAGATGTTTTGGATGACAAAGGTGTTGGGTTTGTTCAACAATCTCTCAATCGCTCTAATGGAACATCAATCAATGGAAGCTCAAGGTAAAAGGAGTGTTTAACCTTCTATGGATGCACGATTTTTCCGAATGCAGTTTTGAACATCTAACAATTCTAGTTGATAGTTTGTCCAACTTTCAAAACAAATAATGCTTAATTAACTGTAAAACTTTCAATTTTAATGGCATATTAGCTCCGCTGGAGCACGTTGCATTCTGTATCTCATTATTTATTTGATGGGAGTCTTCTACAAATTGCTAGCTCCCTTTTCTGTGAAGTTACCAATACTAACTTGCGTAAAACGATTTGCAAACTTCTTTAACTATGTTTTTGGTGGATTTCTCAAATCAAATTCCAGGTTCGTTTCTCTTCAAGGATTTTGTTAAGAGGTCCGTTATCCGTCAGATGTTTAAGTTTTAAATCTTTCGATACTTATATGATGGATAACAGACTTTTACAAAATAAATCTTGGTGAGAAACGACAAAATTTCAGCGCTAACTCTATCTTGCTTTGTCACTAAAGGGATAACAATCAACAAAAAAAAATAAAATTTATAATTATTTTTTAGTTACTCTCGTCTACCATCTCAAATCCCCGGCGTCTGTGGTCTACAAAATCTTGGTAAGTTTGGTCAGGCAATATTAAGCCAGGTATTTACTTAATTTTTAGGCAACACTTGCTTTATGGCATCCGCCATTCAATGTTTATCCAACGTACCTCCAATAACTGAATACTTCTTTCGAGAGAAACACTTGGAGGAGATCAATGAGAGGAATCCACTCGGAACTCGTAAGAAAACTTGAAGTACTTTAATTGGAATCTTTAAGAGGGAGAACTTGCACGCGCCTACGGAAAGCTGATCAAAAATATGTGGAGTGGAGAAAATTCATCTGTGATCCCTCGTCATTTAAAAGTTGGCCAAATTGGATTTTTTTTCAAGCCGTGTTTTAGGTGACGATTGGAACGTTTGCGCCTCGTTTCAGTGGTTATGCTCAACAAGATTCACAAGAACTCATGGCTTTTCTCCTTGACGGGTTACATGAAGATTTGAATCGTATCAAACAAAAAACCGTACAACGAAGAGGGGAAAAATACCGCCAAGAAGCCGGAAGACGAGGTAACCATCGTTAAATTTCAATAAAGAAAATTTGTTTTAGTTGGCGCAATTGCAGTGGGAGCAGTATAAGGCTCGAAATGACAGTATTATCGTTGACAAGGTGCACGGGCAAATAAAGAGCACATTTATTTGCCCTATCTGTCAAAAGGTATTTGCTTAATGAAAAATAAAAATCGTCCATTCTAGGTTTCCATCAAATTTGACCCGGTTTGCTTCCTTTCATTGCCATTGCCACCACGAGAAAAGATCGAACATCGAAATTTCATTGTGATCCAAGATCCACCAAAGAAATGGGCTCAGGTGTGTTTTGCGTTACAAAAGAGTTTAAGTCTTTATTATTGGGCCTTATATGAGAAAAAATCAACAGCCTATACTCCTAAAATTTTGAAGAACGAAAGATCCAAATTCTTTTAATTAGCCGTGTTTCACTTTAGAGGCTTCTAAACCGAACCTGAAAAGTAAAAAGAATTAAATACCTAAATCCTATAGAACATTGCACATTAATACCTGCTTTACTGCATACACAAAGATTAATTGGTTCTCACTTCATCAGTCCTTCATCACTTCATCAGTCCCGTAGTCAGGATTTCGTTGTTTTTGGGAGAATCTTTCAGAGCTTGGCCCAGAAGTGTCCAATCAATTTACACCCAAGGAAGAAAATTTAGCAAAATGTTCGGGCTACATCATGGTCACGGTGAAATTTTTCTAAAATGAAATTCACTCGGAAAAATTTGCATTTTTTTGAGAAAATTAAGGGGCAGGGATTTTAGACCCTTAGCCGTTATCCAGGAAACTTTTAACCACCGCCAATCAATTCTCCGTCTTGGTTTACATAGGAAACGTGAGCTAAAATTCGATTTGAAGCTTGTGGAGCAAGCTAAAAGGGCTCAAAGTTGGGTCGTCATGACTTTTTTGCGCCTCTCTCCCCCAAAATTTTCTCAAAAAAATGTAAATTTTTCCGAGTGAATTTTATTTTGGAAAAATTTCTTCGTGGTCATGATTTAGCCTGAAGATTTTGCTAAATTTTTTCTTTAGGTGTAAATTTATTAGACGCTTCTGGACGAAGCTCTAACGATTCTCCCAAAAAACAACGAAATCCTGGCTACTGGCCTGCACTTCATACCCCGCTTGGTTCTCACTTCTCACCTATACTGTTGTTGCATTTCAAATCGAAGACTTTCTATACATCATTGCACATTAGATACCTGTTATAACATAGAACTATCTACAGGGTATTCCAACAAAAAGTCAGTTCAACGTGATTTTTCTCAGAATTTCTAGTGGCTTCTGGTGGTTGTTGTGGTGTTAAAGTGAAGTTTTTTTTGGGCGGGCATATTTTTGATATTTTTTTACTTTTTCTCGATTTCATGACTTCCTTATACATGAAATTTTTGAGCCGCCATGGCTGCCACCACCAAATGCAAAAAACCACCCAAAGCCAACAGACAACCAAACACAACAAAAACCGAGGTTGGAAACTAGTTACTTAACTCAACAACCATTAGAAATTTCATTTTTGGCAAAAACATGGTGGTGATCCATATGGTATGTCAAATACCTGTATGAATTGAACGGAAAGAAATATCAAACATTTCCCCAAAAATTCCTTTGACACCACAACAACCACCAGAAGCCACTAGAAATTCTGAGAAAAATCACGCTGAACAGAACTTTTTTTGGAATACTCTGTATTATTGCACATTTAATACCTGCCTTTTCTTTGTACATCTTGCACATTTAATACCTGCGATTTCCAAATTATCAATTAATCAAACTTGAAAAGAACTTCCAAAGTATGTTACTTGCCCCAACCTTGAAACTTACCTGTATGTTTCTTTTAACTTACCTACCCTCCTTTGCTGGTCAGTAGAAGATGGAAGAAACTCAAAAGTGTTGTATCAACTAGGCGCGCTTCCAGTTGAGCACTGACTCTTCTCAAAACCATAATAGTGGTAAGGAATTGGGCCCATCTTAAAAGTATGACTCGTAAGCTTTTCTTTTCTCTTTTACCTTTTCGGATCTGGTAAATCATATCCTTCATCACACAAATGCCGGAAGACATCCCACAACTTACGATAGAATCTGGTTGCTTCAGAATCGCCCTAGAAATTTTGTCTTTCAAAGCCGTTGGCAAAACATTTTATATTTATGTAAAAAGCTCTTGAGTATTTAATACCTCGGGGTGATTATCGGGATTGAAGAAAAATATGGCCGAGAGCACCGCCATTTGCCGTAGATCCATTTGCAGATCATGGATTTCTTCAGCAATCCGAAATATTGTTTTCACTAATTCGATTCCCCTCTAAATCAACTCATTTTCAGAGCCTAAACCTGTAGCAGAACCTAAGCAACTTACTTCGTCAATTGCGTCTTCAAGATCTTCTAAATAAATTGCTTCGTCTTTCGATGGATGTAAGCATTTGGTTGCAGGATCAAATAGTGTCACAAATTTGAGAACATGGATTTCAAGCATTGAGGCTCTCAGAAAAAATTCCTGTGTCATTTGATTGAGCTTAATTTAGTTGTAAGATTTGTCGTGTCGTAAAATTCTGTACCTTTCCGATAGCTTCAAAACCATCTGAGAAGCTGTGAACTCGGCGAACCAGTGATCTGATCAATTCAATGTAGCTCTCCTTTTCGGAAAGGATATCAGTTGGTCGAGAGATCGGGAGGTGTATGTGTGAACAGTAAGAACGGGTCACTGTTTCGATCAAAGAAAACATTTCCTAGATACAGTGTAATGGTTTGATCTACAGCTACAAGCTACCTTTTGTTGTTGATTTGAATGAGGTGCTTTGAGAGTTGTCAAAACGTCTTCGACAACACGTCTCTCGCGATTTTCTTTAATCAACTCTTTTTTCTGAGCTCGTTCGGTTTCATTTAAGACCACTAAAAAAGTTTTCTGAAAATACTTCTAAGAAAACCCACAGTCTGAACTCATTCCAACAGCTTTACATTTATTGTAGCGGCAACGTTGGCAATAGTTCCGGTTATTTTTATCGATGGGACAATTCTGGTCACTGTTTTTGCAAACATAAATGAGGCATCGTTGTTCGGTGCGGCGCCAAAACCCTTTGCATCCTTCACAGGTGATAGCCCTGAATTTGAACATTTTGGGTTTTGTTTCGTTTTACCTTCGGTATCACAAAATAGTCCAAAATACGAAAAATTTACCGGTAATGAAGCCCCGTTGCCACATCGCCACAAACCATGCATAACTGGCCATCTTCCATGTAGGATGGTAGATAAGGCGTAGCTAAAATCTCGATAAAGAATGAAATATCAGAGCGTTGAGTCTTAAATTATACCAATGAGTATGTTACCTTTCACACGTTAACGCGGAGAAGTACTTTGAATGATAGCCAAATTGTTAGACATTTGATCGAACACTTTGTCAAAAAGCAAGCTTTTTTGCAAGTGCGAGGGAATGCTGAGGCTGAGACTATCGGTAAGTCCCGCCCTTTTAGGCAAAGAGCTCTGGGTAAAGGAGGATCCCCTCACGGACGGTCAGGGAATGGCGCAATGAGCCCGCAGATGCACCGGTAAACAGCCCATTGAGGTCACATAGAGAGTGTAAGGCTAAGTCCAGCCACTGTTTGAATTTGTGCCAAAATGAAATAAATAATTAGGTATTAGAAGTTTAAATCAAATTGTTTTAGTTCTCCATGAAAATCAAGCCGCAGAAGACTACGGTAGCTGATGCAACTGTCGTGATTTTGGGTAATTTCGGACTTCGAGAAGATGATTCCAAGGCAAAGTTTATTTGATTTTTTGCTTTTCATTTGAAATGTTTAGATTATTATGTATACTTTTGACTCCTATGACAATGTGAAGGTCCTTAAATGCGAAGATTATGTTTACCCAGAAAGAATTTCAACTTTTCCGTCGTTAGCTCCAATTTATGCTTCAATCGTTGGTAAGCAAGTAGCACATATAAAAGATTTTGTTTTGCTTAGATCCTTCTTGCCAGTCGTTTGTGGTCGTGAAGAATCAATCAGCCAATGGCAATCGTTCACTTTCAGTACCTCTAGTCCTTGGCCTTTCGGACTCCTATCAAGTCAATCAGTAAGAATAAATTCATTCGGCTAGAAATTTTTGACTTTTGTCTTTTAGGAATTGGATTGATACGGTTGCTCTACCATATGTGAAAAGGCAGTTTTTCAAAGAAACTCTTACCGACGAAGATAAGGAAGCTCTTCAATATGAGGTAATTTTTGTTCGCTTTTGAGGAACTTTGCCGCAGGTGGTCTGGCTCCGCGTTGTAAAAGCATAATCGTCTTGACCCTGTACAAGAATTTACAATGGGGTCTTGTAATGGCGCTGATGTTCACTTTGTGATTGTTGTGAGAGCTATGCTCTAGAATGGCTTCCTAAAATAACAAAAATTTAAGAACACGGCTAGGCTTTTGCGTAATTCTCGGCTTTTTGTCAATTTTAATAGAGAGACTATTTTATTTGCTTAGACCAAAGGACCTTATCTTCTACTCTTTTGCAATTTGAGAGCGCCCTAGTCTGCCTTCTTGCGTAATCGGCTTGGATTTTTGAGTCTTGAGAAAAGTCTTTGCAGTCCAAAAAGAAAAAAGATGATTTGAAAAGACAAAAGGACAAAATGATTTTTTAGGTTTTGGTTGAGAAAGACGGTGCTTTTGTGCCGTTTACTGAAGAAACTAATGGTATACGCAGCCTTACTTTTCGTTGGCAAACCAGCCAACAATCAGAAGACGAAGACCTTCAATCAGAAGACGGGAAAGTAAGATGGATTTTGAGGATTTAAATAACCCAAGTTTTAAGACTGAAGTTGAGCGCGAATGTTCGGTTCCGATCCCGACAGATATTCATCTAAAAGAATGCATTGATCTTTTCACCAAAGAAGAACAGTTGGGAGGACAAGACAGCTGGTTGAACCAAAATTCCTTTAATTTATTTGGTTTTTAGGTACTGCCCAAGGTGTATTTTTTATTTTAAAAATTTTTTTTAATTTTTTTTTTTTTTTTAAAAAAAAAAAAAAAAAAAAAAAAAAAAAATTTTTTTTTTTTTAAAAAAAAAAAAAAAAATAATTTAAAAAAAAAAAAAAAAAAAAAAAAAAAAAAAGAGGGTTTTTATTTTTTTTTATTTTTTTAAAAATTTTAAAAAAAAAAAAAAAAGTTCATCAGCGAGCCATGAAAAAGCTTGATCTTTGGAAACTTCCCGAGGTGGGTCATGACCGTTTTTAAAAAAATCAAGTTGATGTAGATTTTAATCATTCATCTGAAGCGTTTCATTTACACTTGTTGGAACAGAGAAAAGTTTGATATTCAAGTCGAGATTCCTGTGCGGTAAACACTTGGTTATTTTGTAGTGCTTATAGCATTTTCAGTGGCTTCGAATTAAACGATAAGCTGGCCAATACATTGCATGAACATGTTCAAGATGACCTTATTGCAATGTCGCATCACAGTGGAGGATTGGGCGGTGGTCACTATACAGCAAGTGCGCTCAATCCAAATGGCAAATGGTACGATATTAATTTTAACAGATCAATGAATAAGAACTTTAGGTATGAATTCAATGATTCGTGCGTTTCGGAGAGAAATCCTCCAGATGACCGATTGAAAGCCTCCTCTCCCTACATGCTTGTATATCGCAGGAGGTCGCCAAAGCATTTTCATCTCAATTAATTTTTTAATTTACCGTATTTACTCGAATAGAAGACCGGTCTTCGATTTTTTTTCAATCACACCCTAGAACCCGTCTTCTATTCGAGGCCGGTCTTTTATTCAAGACGATCTTTTATTATTTGCATTCACGAAAATTTTCAGGAAAGTAACCAGCGTTTAAAAAAAAACCTTTTTGTAAAAATTTATTGCAACATTTAACAACAAAATTTATCAACAACAACCTTTAATAACAACATTAACAACAATTAATAAGAACATAAAAAAAGCGGTAAGAACAACATTATTCTTCATTCTCACTTGATTCAATGTCATCCTCTATTAAATCCGGATCTTGCAAAATTCCATCGAGTCCCTCTGTGCTCGAAATTGAATCGTTTTCACTCTAATATCCATTGTTTCTATCCTCGTCGGAGTCGATATCTTGACAAAGTTTTGCTAATCTTCTCTCCAATCTTGCAATATCCAGCTTGAATCGACCACTCTCAACAGCTTCCCCTTTGCGGAAACAAACAATCTGATCATCCTCTCTGTTGGTCTCCTTATTGTCATTTTTTGCCGTCTCAAAAAATTCGCAAGCCATTCATTGCTTGCAGAGAAAGACTTTGTGAAATCTAGGTTCGATTCGCGAAAAAACTCCTTGGGCTATTATAGAAATTGTTTCACTGTACGCCTTAAGCAATTTCTTTTTGATTTGATACTACAATACTTGAACGTATTATAATCTTTTACTGATCAATTGAGATTTTTTAAAGAATAATTTATTGCCATTTATTAAAATGCGATCCGCTCTCCGACTCCTCCAGCTTGAGTTACTGCCTAAATAAAACAAATGCACTATCCGAACAAAAAACCTAGCATCTGAAAAGATCATGAACTTGCTGTTTCAATTTGTCATTGTTTTTGTTATAGCATTTATATTCTTGGCCAAACCCTGTAGCAATTCGCAGTATCTTGGGACTAGGTCCAATCCGAAGGACAACCAGGCGCCAGTTTTGCTGTTGACGAAGTGATTATCGAAATAACTTGTGTAGTCTTTGTAGATTTTTGTGGTCGAACCGTTTGCACAGTTGATTGTCCAGCATGTGTAGTTTGAGTTTGATTTCGCGACAACAAAAGCTTGCAAACAGCGTTGATAAATTTTGCTTCACGCTCCACATCGTCCCATTTCCCAAGGTTTGCCGAAAAGTCGCCAAGGCTGTAGTTGGATGACCACACCTATTCAGTAACTTGTTTACCGACTATCGTCCCCTTCACCTGCAAACCCCTTCACCTGTTGTCCACCTTGGTTGTCCGGCTCTTCTGGAGCCCAAAATTGAAAGGTAAATGGTGTTCCATCGGCCCAATCAAAAACGATCGGACTATCACCACTGATCTGAACAGATTACTACTCAATTTTTGTCGGTGAATGGAATGTCTACGGTAGATGAAAACTGGCTTGAACTTTTGTGCCACCGACAAGCGTTTGGTAAAGAGTTGTAACACCGCCTGAGATTCGGGAGAGGTCTGAAAAAATGGGTGTAATGAGAAAAACCAATCACTAACCATTGACTACTTGGTTCTCCTCCGTTGAGTGAATGGATGTCAATTGTCCGCCAGTTGACTTGCACAAAGTATCGGCTTCTTCAAAATCTAGACCACCGTCTTTGGTGATGGCCTAAACACATTCAGAATCATGCCTTTTAATTCAGTTCTAAAATTCTTAAATATGGTTGCCTTTTGTAAACCTTAAACTGGTTCTTTTACCCACAAACCGAGCTCTTAGTGTAATTCTAAACCTCTTATATACCCTAAACAAGCACTGAGCTTGTAATTGTTTAAAGAAAGAACCTTGTAGCAGCTGTGTGTTTTTGAGAAGTAAAGCCATCCGGGTGGACAGATTAGTGGACTTTGGGAAACAGCGGGAGTAATAGATCTAGTTGAGAACGGTTTCCGAGTCTGTTCACGAGAGTTTTCCTTTGAGTTAGACTCTTTGGATTCTTTGGATGAGGATTTCGATGCAACTAACTGTTCAAAACAAAGTAAAAGTAGGAAAAATGAGAGCAAAGTCTTGTGTTGAACTTTAGAAATCATTGCTTCGATGATAGGAAACTGATCTGAGACGTTCTTTTATGCGAAAACTTTTACAACTTAAATGAAATTAGAGCTTAAATCTTTCCTCATTCGTTTTTTCATTTCAAACTTCGTCCAGCTATGTCAATAAGACCTTTGAAGAATGGCAATACACACTTTGAAGGCATCGCATAAAAACTTTTACAAGTCGGCTTACAATAGCGCTTGAATCTTTGCTCGTTCGCGATCAAAAGACCAAATTCATGCTTTTGATTCCAAAAGAGTTTGACGCAAAAGAGAACCATTAAAAACTAGAGTTGTCATAGGTCATAAGTCATTTTTTAAAAATGATTTCTGTGAAACTCTTTTGATATGAAGGGTTTTTAAAGGCAATAAAGAAATAAATCAGTTTAAGCATGACGCATGAGATTCACGTTTTACTTTGAAAATGTGTCGGGAAATCCCTAAAATTACGCAAAGTTTTGCAAAGCCCAACCGGTGTACTGCTGCTTACGATGTGATGAAATAGAAAATTCGATTCCAATCGATTCGGATGATTTCAGCTTTTCTGGACTGCAAATAAGCTCACTTCGATTTGCTGAATTATAATTGTTTATTTTTTAATCAGGCTTTTAATAATTTATTCATTTGATGTAAATAAATACTTTAGAAGAGTAAAGAACTTTTACTCTTTCAAAAAGAGTAAAAGCCAAAGATTAAACAAGAATTTGCAAAAAACAATGACAATCATAAAGTTCTTTTAAAAATGATGATGTGGTAATGGCTAAAATTCAATAAGCCAAGTTTCAGTTTCAGTTATCAAAATCTGATTTGTGACGTTTTGTGTTGTGCCTAAACTTTTCTCATTTGAAAATTGAAAAAAGTCTATTAGCTACTACCCGTTCCATATCATTTGTGGTCACGTTTAGATTGAGATTGAAGGCAGACGAAACAATGGGTGGACGTCGGCTGGAGTTCATTTCATTTCACCAAAAACTGTAATCAAATTACCAGGCTCGAACCAAAACAATGATCAAAATGATTCCAATTCCAACAATCAACGCAATCCCAGCACCGATCCATTCCCATTTATAGCGAGAAAAGATGTTTTTCGGTTTGTCTTTCGCTAAAACGAAAGCATTTTGTATCAGGGTTGCAAAGTTAAGAAAAAATGTTATTGGAAGGTAGTAAACGTTATGTGAAACTAATGCAATTAACACTACCTGTTGTGGTTTCTTTAGAAGTTGTTTGTGAAGTCGTCGTAGTAGCTGTGATCTGAATTGGGCACAGATTAGCTTGAGTTAAGCCTCGAGCTTGTCTCAGCGAAACATAATAAACTCACCGTCGTTGTTGTCGTTACAGCGGTTGTTATCGTTGTCGTTGTAGCAGTGGTAATTGTAGCCGGCAATATTGTTGTTGGTGTTGTTGTCGTTTCTAATGTACTCAAATAGTCTTCTCTCATCGTCATTTGATATCCATAAACATCAGGAACCGGGTTTTCAGGGCACCAAATTGCCTGAAAATTTTCTGTAAAACTGTTTCCTTACAATAAAGCTCTTACTTGTACACAAGTGGCCTCAAAAGAAAACTTTTCTCCCTTTTCTGGCATTGTGGTAAAGCTGAAAATTTGTTGCAAAAAGGAAACCCAGAGGCTGTACTACTTTTTCTCAAAATTTGATTTATTGTTCCAGCAATTCGAGTCATTGGGTGACAAAAATCCTCGAACCGTCAAGTTTCCACCTTTAAACCTTTGAAATTCCATTGTCAAATTTGGTTTGAGATCTGATGGCTAAACAAGGGCATATTTCCAGCATTCGATTTGAAACTCTCACATAATTTGTTGTATCTGCCTTTATTTCATGACATTTAGATGCCTGTTGAACTTGTTCGATGTGATCAATTGGCCATGGTTGATAGGGTGACATCCAAGTAGAGAAGCGATTGATATGCATCTCTGAAGTTTTCTCAACCGAATCAAATGTTCCATGTTTCTAAAGAGAGCTATAGGGCTTCAAGCTCGGGCCACTTAAAAAACCAAAGAGCCGAATTGTCGATAAATTGTCTTTCTTTCTTTTCACTTACCCGCATTTCTTGTATCAAATTGAAGACAAAAGCTGCATTTCTCTTTTGTGAACAAGCTAGTGACCGAGCCTCTTGTTTGAATTTTCAATTCATCAGAGCTGAAAAATTTCTTGAAAGAAATAGACATGACAGTTGGATTAATGAATCAAACAAACTAACATTCCATCAGCAAGAAAATAGTCATCATTTTCTGTTTTCCCAGGATCACCCCCGGCGAAACTTGAATATTGGGTGCTTGAAGGACAAGTGAGATCAGACTGAAATTTGAGGTATCTTATTTTTAGTTTTTTATTGATAAACCACCTTGAAGAGTTCACAGTTAACATTTTCTGGATCCACAATGAAATCTTTTCCAATCGGTTTCAACAATGAAAAAGGGGCAAACCCACCCACCCCATTGCTAAATTAAAGTTAAGAGTTCATCTTTTAGTTAAATATTAGATTGGCCCATACGTCTTTAAACACTTTTTACTACTAGAGTTCATAAATGACAACTTAAGAAATTGATCCAAAATTAGCTCTAAATAGCTAATGTTGTTCATATTCATTTTTCTATCTTTTAAGACAAATTGGGTCCTTTTCTAAGCAAATTTGAGTGCAAAAACTCGTTTTTCGCAAAAATTCGATAAAGGATCACAAAGAAATTGGCTGATTATCCTGAAAATTCGAAATATATTCCTAACTTTTTGCTCTTTATTTTTTATCTATTGACGACAACATTGGTTTCTGTCGACAGATCGCTTAGATTGCGTCTTCGGGTTTTCGCCTTTTTTGACTACCCGACTTCGCGCCCTCATAAAAAACCATTGACGAAACAGTTTCCTCAGATTCAAACGTTATTGTGTAGAAAAATCGTAGACCATTTTTGTTGAAAGGCACAAACCTAACATAGGTGGCCGGCGAAACGATCACTATTGGTGTGACATTTTCCTTCACGACAAGATAGAGAGTTTTGGGTGGGCCACCGTTAACCCAACCAGGAATCACCAACACTTCTCTTGTAACTAAAAAAAACTCAGATAATTAAAAAAGCAGCTATTTTCATTTCAAAATCCCAACCATCAGACCATTTTTCGACTCGAATCGAGAGCCCGAAATAATTGAGGTAGATATTTGGAGTGTAGGTCAATTTCTGATGCAAATTGAGCTGTGTTTGATTGTCGATTCGAAAACTCGACGAATAGAAAGTTCTCTCTATTCTATGAGTGGTGTTTGGAGAAGTGTTCTGATACGAAGCATAAATTCTGAAAATCTTTTGCTTTTTCTTGTATCTTACTCCCAATTATACCTTCAAAGCGTCTCCCTAACCTCTAATTAAATCTCTTTTAATTTTGTGGCAAAAGTCAAACAAATTGGGCAGCTATGAAAGCTACGAAGTTCTGCTACTTTTGTTTGAAATTCCTCACAAAACTAGAAGATATTCAGCTGAGTAGGGAGGCACTTTGAAAGAGTACTTACAGTGATTTTTGCTCGACCAATTGCATTTCTCCATCGTCGATGGTAAACGGCAATTGATCCAAACAGATCGATTCCTTTTTGTTCACATTGTTGCAATTGTCTTGCGAGAAATCAATGAGAAAATTTGTGTTTGGTTCAACACTTATAGTGATTTGCTGAAATGATTTGTCTGTGCACCGTAATGTCATGAAGGTGTTCAGTTCAAGTTAGAAACAGCTGAAATACGCCAAAGCCTTAAACTAGTAGATTTTGGTATATAAGTTTTTGAAATATATTTAGAGTTTTTTTTGTGTGTTACGTATCACTAATCACTATGTTGGTGCTAACACATTGAAAATCCGGGAAAGCTTAGTACTTCAAGCTTTCTTCGGGCGAACTTTTCAAAAAAACTAAACCATATCTTTTTCTCAATTTCTTTATTGATTATACGCCACTATTTGATCCCGATCTGATGCACAGTTTCTGAGAAATGAGAGAGGATGTGTTAAATGAAATAAAGTGTAAAAGCATCTGTAAGCATTTGCGCTTTTCAAAGAAAGCTTTACATCGATAAACCTACAAAATGGCGTTCAAATTGAATCTCTCAAAGTGAGCTTTCAGGTTTAAGTTAGTTCATATTTAAATTGAAAATTAATTTCTTTGAAGGCTACCAATCGCAATGTTTAGTGCAACTTATCAACCCATATCAAAATTCTGTCACTTTCGTGATCAACATACATCAAAGGATGCAAGCCGGACTCCATGAATGGCAAATGATGGAGTTTTTTCGTCAAGTTGAAACTTCAATTTGTAGCAATCTTCATCCTCTTTTACGCTCAGCAAAAAGCCGAAATCCTCACTTGTAGTGTTGGGAAACCAGATGAACTAAGCGAAAAATGGCACTCTTGAAAATCTTCTACTTTTGTTTACCCGAAAGCAACGTGCAACGAAGGGATCAATTTCAGCTGGTGCAGTTAAACTGAAAGTTTTGTATGATAAAACAAAGAAAAATAAATTAACATCCAAGGTACAATAAAACAAAGGAGTTAAAGACTCAAATTAAAACAAAAAATAAAAGAAAATGACCCTTAAAAGGCACTAAATGTAAATCAAAGGCTTCTAGGACTGAACAGATACTAGAATTTAATCAAATAGTTCCTGAAGTACAGGATTCAAATCAAAGATTATTCCTATGGAATGGCTAGGCTGCAAAGGAAAGATAAGTACTTAATTTTAAGACAAACTTTTGATTGGTGGTCGGTTCGTGTTTCCAGCAAGTACCACGTGGTGCTTCCTCTTCCGATGGGTATGTTCGAAACCAAAAAGTTCCACCTACAACCCGTTTCAGTGAGGCTCGAAAAGGGTTTATGTAGCCTTCTCCCTGAAATGAAACTGAAATGTAAGAACAAAATTCACAATTATTTATTACCCCATAGTTGAGATTGCTGTCTTGTTGATACGATTTTCCGGCCCTCCCAAGTTGAATTCGTTGCTCCTTGTCAAATATCCATGGATAGTATGGAGCTGGCCAGATTGTTTGCCGATCCATCCAACGAGCTGAAAATGTTTCAGATTCATAATATGAAAAGACGCAGAAACACACTCTAATCATTCTCTGTCATTTATAAGCTGTGAACTCACCGAAACCGGCTGTCCGAAATATGAGACAAAAACTGCAAGATTGTTTGGGGAAAAGACTTGTCGCCGTTGATCCCGAATAAAAACGAATCCATCGTGATCTGGAAAAGAGCAAAGTTGACTATTGAATTGATATTGTTGACCTTGTCAAGCCACGCATCTGGCCTTTAGGACATCCGAATCCATTTCTGGTAACTAGCGTCGACTTATCTTCTCCTTATTCATTAAATAAATTAGTTTATTTTAGTTTTAAAGAAGGCGCTAGTGAGGCATGAGTGAAAACAAGTGCTAGTGAGCCATGAAATAATCTGTTTTGAAGTGTACATCTTTAATGTCTCCCCGTAGACTCATGTATAAAAGTACAAGTACACAAATATCTTTACTCACGTTCCACTATCAAGATGATGTGCCTCAAGTTTTGCGTTTCCCGGATCCCCACCCGCGTATCCATCGAAAAGAGTGTCCACAGGACAAGTGATGTTTGGCTGAATAACTTGTTTTGGACTAGCTTAAAAAAATATCTTTTTAACACACAACAAACATTGGACATCCGACGTCCCATTCTGGTGACCAATAGAAATCTTGAGCGACTGGCTTCATGAAGCTATAGGGACCAGTTGGCCTAAAGAGTTGTACTACAAAAATCGTCGAAAAACAAACGTGTAATTTGATGGATTGGGTACCAAAGTGGCAACGGTATTGACGTCGATGAAAGCAAACAACCAATCATAGTTTGCACCACCTTCAGTCACTCCGCCGGGTATCACAAATACTTTGGATGAGTCTGAAATTGTGATCTTTCAGTTGATATTTTCATGTTTCAGTTCATCAAAAACAAACTTTCAACCCATTTCTCGACCCGAATCGAAATCGCATACAACGTCGTGCAAACGTCAATTTTTGGTCGAATGATCACTTCATTTACGGCTTCAACTACGTAATGAGAACGACAGTAGTTGGCAAATGGCGCACGCCATTTTGCACCATATGCTCTGAAAATAGCTTGACTGTTGTGGCCGACATTCTGAGGACAAGAATGAAAGATTAATGATTTGATTTTTATCAATCATTTCAATCATTTATAAGTTGTCCATCAATTTTTGTCGTCCCCAAGACGTTTAAGTAAAGCACCCGTAAATGTGTTGAAAAGCCATGGAAAAATAGCTTCAAGAAATAATTAATTACTGTTTTAAAAAGACTAGAATAATCATAAAGATTTGTAATTCGGAGGTTTTCCAAAAAAAGCCAAGAACAATCGGAATTGAAATTGGCGGTAATCGGAATTGAAGCCGCGAGCAAGAATGGTCTAGGTTTTGGAGTCTAGCACACTATCCCCCACGCCGTCGCTACCTTACGTTCCCTCGGCTGTAGCGTGCCCTTATAGGCGAGGTCGGGGTTTGCCAAAAATTGCCAAAACTTTAGCTACGTCTTTCTCGTAAACCAGGACTGATGGGGAAAAAAATAAGAAATACTTGTTTCTAAGATTCTTACGGGACTTTTGTAGCTAGGCCCGGTTTCGAAAACGGGGGTAGGTTGAAACAGTTTCCTATTGAGGTCAATTGTAATCAGTAGTTTAATCATAATGTAATTGTAATTGTAATCATTGTAAATCTACAGTACACCGTCTGATTTTCAGGGTCTTCCAAAGATTCGTCGTTTACGGTGAATGGGATCGGTTGGGAGCAGATTGGTTTTTGATTATCACATGGTGATTGGGTGAGATCGATCAAGAAATTCACATTGCGATCAGTGTTGCTGATGATCGTGACCTAAAAAGCTGTATGATCTAAAGCCAATAAAAGTTAAATCTCTTGTACCTCATTTGTGATGATTTGCTCTCCATGAATGGCAAACGACGGTGTTTTTTCATCTAATGTGATATTTCTTACAGCTGCAGTGAAAGTCAGAAGAACACTCGAAATGATTAAACATCTCGTTTCCCAGTTTGAGATCTTCATCTAGAATTTACAATATAAAGCTATAGCTCAACTTCAAACTCAAACAAACAAAATGAAATCTTTGCTATTCGAAAGCATCTTTATACGACAAAAAAAGCAAAAGCTTACAGATTTTTGGTGCCCTTTTGATATTTTTGACACAAAATGCAGAAAAAAAGACTTAAGTTTTAGCTTTCCGGGATTTTTTTGACGTTTTTCCACCCACATAGTGATTAGTGACATGCAGCGCTATTTTCTCGAGGTTTTCAAAAGTATGGAAAAGAATTATTTTCTTTCATTTGTGGCCTGTGAGTTTCTTCACTTAAATAAAACATTCCACCCACATAATGATTGGGACTGGTCTTGTGATATCAAGATATCTATGCTCGCCACTCACATACATGCAACGGGACAACGTGTTTATGCAGGCTGGCTTTGGTAATCATAGCATAGTTTGCGTTTAGAGCTCCTTATCTCAATGTTCACAACGTCTTGCCAGAAGCAACCAAGGGAATCCTAGACGTTCAAGAGCTTGGAGAATCAAATCACGGAAACCCTCTTTAGACCCAAACTGATCAAGAAGCTCAAAAAGCGAGGTGGCTTGGATCAAGTCAGCGAGCTAAATTTCCACGTAACTTCACCTGTTTCTTTAGCGTTGAAACCTTTACGAACACCAAGCAAAAAAAACGCGAAGCGTTTTAGTTTTTCAATTTTTATTTTAGAGCCTTATTTGGCGTTTATTGATGCGTTATTCAAATAAAACCTTATTTGGATGAATTGATTCAAATAATTATTTGTTTGAGAGGATCATATTCCTATTCATTATGTGAGTGGAATGTTTTTTTTAAGTGAAGAAACGTAAAAAGAAAAAAAAAGAGACGCCATAACTAAAAAAAAATAATACTTTTCCATACTTTTGAAAACCTCGAGAAAATAGCGCTGCATGTCACTAATCACTACTTGGGTGGAAAAAAGTCAAAAAAATCCCGGAAAGTTGAAACTTAAGTCGTTTCTTTCCGAATGTTTTATCAAAAATATCAAAAGGGGCACCAAAAATCTGTAGGCTTTTGCTTTTTTGTCGTATAAAGATGCTTTTGAATAGTAAAGGTTTCATTTTCTTTGTTTCAGTTTGAAGTTGAGTTATAGGTTTGTAATGTAAATTCTAGATGGTGATCTCAAACTGGGAAACGAGATGTTTAATCATTTCGAGTGTTCTTCTGACTTTCAGTGCAGCTGCAAGAAATATCACATTAGATGAAGAAACACCATCGTTTGCCATTCATGGAGAGCAAATCATCAAAAATGAGGTATCATAAATCATACTAGAGATTTAACTTTCATTGGCTTTAGAGCATACAGCTTTTTAGGTCACGATCATCGGCAACACTGATGACAATGTGAATTTCTTGATCGATCTCACTCAATCACCATGTGATAATCAAAAACCAATCTGCTCCCAACCAATCCCATTCACCGTAAACGACGAATCTTTGGAAGACCCTGAAAATCAGACGGTGTACTGTAGATTTACAATGATTACAATTCCAATGAAATTATGATTATAATTAATGATTACAATTGCCATCAATAGGAAACTTTTTTCAACTTATCACCGATTTTCGAAACCGGGCCTAGCTACAAAAGTCCCGTAAGAATCTAAGAAACAAGTATTTTTTTATTTTTTCCCCATCGGCCCTGGTTTACGAGAAAGACGTAGCTCAAGTTTTTTTATAAATGATTGAAATGATTGATAAAAATCAAATCATTAATCTTTCATTCTTGTCCTCAGAATGTCGGCCACAACAGTCAAGCTATTTTCAGAGCATATGGTGCAAAATGGCGTGCGCCATTTGCCAACTACTGTCGTTCTCATTACGTAGTTAAAGCCGTAAATGAAGTGGTCATTCGACCAAAAATTGACGTTTGCACGACGTTGTATGCGATTTCGATTCGAGTCGAGAAATGGGTTGAAAGTTTGTTTTTGATGAACTGAAAAATGAAAATATCAACTGAAAGATCACAATTTCAGACTCATCTAAAGTATTTGTGATACCCGGCGGAGTGACTGAAGGTGGTGCAAACTATGATTGGTTGTTTGCTTTCATCGACGTCAATACCGTTGCCACTTTGGTACCCAATCCATCAAATTACACGTTTGTTTTTCGACGATTTTTGTAGTACAACTCTTTAGGCCAACTGGTCCCTATAGCTTCATGAAGCCAGTCGCTCAAGATTTCTATTGGTCACCAGAATGGGACGTCGGATGTCCAATGTTTGTTGTGTGTCAAAAAGATCTTTTTCTAAGTTAGTCCAAAACAAGTTATTCAGCCAAACATCACTTGTCCTGTGGACACTCTTTTCGATGGGTACGCTGGTGGGGATCCGGGAAACGCAAAACTTGAGGCGCATCATCTTGATAGTGGAACGTGAGTGAAGACATTTGTGGGCTTGTACTTGCATACATTAGTCTACGGGCTTAGACATTTGGTATAAAAGATGTACACTTTATAGCAGATTATTTCATGCCTCACCAGCACTTGTTTTTAAGGCATTGTTTAAAACAAAAAAAGACTGAGCGAATCTGTTTGGTCGACCGGTTCGGAATGCTTAGAGTTTTTTCTGATTTTTAGAGAAAAACTAAAAAAAGTTACCAGAAATGGATTCGGATGTCCTAAAAGCCAGATGCCTGGCTTGACAAGACCAACGATATCAATTCAATAGTCAAATTTGCTCTTTTCCAGATCACGTTGGATTCGTTTTTATTCGGGATCAACGGCGACAAGTCTTTTCCCCAAACAATCTTGCAGTTTTTGTCTCATATTTCGGACAGCCGGTTTCGGTGAGTTATAAAGCTTATAAATGACAGAGAATCATTAGATCGTGTTTCTGCGTCTTTTCAAATTGTCTTTTCAAGTTGTCTTTTCATATTATAAATCTGAAACATTTTCAGCTCGTTGGATGGATCGGCAAACAATCTGGCCAGCTCCATACTATCCATGGATATTTGACAAGGAGCAACGAATGCAACTTGGGAGGGCAGGAAGATCGTATCAACAAGAGAGCAATCTCAACTATGGGGTAATAAAAAATTGTGAATTTCGTTTTTACAAGTTTCATTTCAGGGAGAAGGCTACAGAAACCCTTTTCAAGCCACACTGAAACGGGTTGTAGGTGGAACTTTTTGGTTTCGAACATACCCATCGGAAGAGGAGGCACCACGCGGTACTTGCTGGAAACATGAACCGACCACCAATCGAAAGTTTGCCTTAAAATTAGCTTCTTATCTTTCTTATCTTTCCTCCCCAGCCTAGCCATTCTATAAGAACAATCTTTGATTTGAACCCTGTACTTCAGGAACCATTTGATGACTTCTAGTGTCTTTTTATTCCTAGAAGTCTTTGATTTACATTTAGTGCCTTTTAAGGATCATTTTCTTTCATTTTTTTTAAAAATTTGAGTCCTTAACAGAAACTCCTTTGTACCTTGGATGTTAGTTTATTTTTCTTTGTTTTATCATACAACACTTTCAGTTTCTCTGCACCGGCTGAAATTGATCCTTTCGTGGCACGTTGCTTTCGGGTAATCAAAAGTGGAGAATTTTCAAAGGTGCCATTTTTCATTTAGTTCATCTGGTTCCCCAACACTACAAGTGAAGATTTCGGCTTTTTGTTGAGCGTAAAAGAGGACGAAGATTTCTACAAATTGATGTTTCAACTTGACGAAAAAACTCCATCATTTGCCATTCATGGAGTCCGGCTTGCATCCTTTGATGTATGTTGATCACGAAAGTGACAGAATTTTGATATGGGTTGATAAGTTGCACTAAACATTGCGATTGGTAGCCTTCAAAGAAACTAATTTTCAATTTAAATATGAACTAACTTAAACCTGGAAGCTCACTTTGAGAGATTCAATTTGAACGCCATTTTGTAGGTTTATCGATGTAAAGCTTTCTTTGAAAAGCCCAAAAGGTTACAGATTCTTGGTGCCGTTTTTACACTTTATTGCATTTAACACATCTTCTCTCATTTCTCAGGAACTGTGCATCAGATCGGGATGAAATTTTGGCGTATAATCAATAAAGCAATTGAGAAAGTTATGGTTTAGTTTTTTTGAAAAGTTCGCCTGAAGAAAGCTTGAAGTACTAAGCTTCCGGATTTTCCGGAGTCTTACCACCCACATAGTGATTAGAGACACGTAATGCACAAAATAACTCAACGCCATCTGAAAGTTTTCCAAGGTTCACACGACATAGCGGAAGGACATCTGGTAAAAAAGAATGCAAAAAGGCGTGATAAATAGTTCTCTAAAAAACAGTTCAGAGCAAATCAATTAGCATAATTATTCCAATGAGCAGGGAATCGTAGTGTAACTTTTCTGACGATTTATTCTATTTCTCGTCACCCAGAAAAGCTTTAAATAATTTCTATATACCAAAAACCAATCGTTTTAAGGCTTTTGGCGTATTTCACCTGGTTCTAACGAATACCTGTATGACATTACGGTGCACAAACAAATCATTTCAGCAAATCACTATAAATGTGGAACCCAACACAAATTTTCTCATCGATTTCTCGCAAGACAATTGCAACAATGTGAACAAAAAGGAATCGATATGTTTGGATCAATTGCCCTTTACCATCGACGAAGGAGAAATGAAACTGATCGAACAAAAATCACTGTAAGCATTGTAAATATTCAAAGTGTATGCCTTGCCTACTCAGCTGAATATCTTCTAGTTTCGTGAGGAGGGAGCTATGAATAATCGGGACCTCGTAGCTTTCATAGCTTCCCAATTTGTTTGACTTTTCCCACAAAATTAAAAGATATTCAACTAGAGGTTAGGGGACACTTTGAAGGTATAATTGTGAGTAAGATACAAGAAAAAGCAAAAGATTTTCAGAATTTATGCTTCGTATCAGAACACTTCTCCAAACACCACTCATAGAATAGAGAGAACTTTCTATTCGTCGAGTTTCCGAATCGAAAATCAAACACAGCTCAATTTGCATCAGAAATTGACCTACACTCCAAATATCTACCTCAATTATTTCGGGCTCTCGATTCGAGTCGAAAAATGGTCTGATGGTTGGGATTTTGAAATGAAAATAGCTGTTTTTTTTAAAGAATCTGAGTTTGGTTTTAGTTACAAGAGAAGTGTTGGTGATTCCTGGTTGGGTTAACGGTGGCCCACCCAAAACTCTCTATCTTGTCGTGAAGGAAAATGTGACACCAATAGTGATCGTTTCGCCGGCCACCTATGTTAGGTTTGTGCCTTTCAAAAGATTCAAATAAACATTTGGTAGTCAATTTTAAAATCAGTAAGTAAATTTTGGTTGGCCAAAGTTGTCCGATGAATTTTGGGACACTTTTTTCTACTAGCGTTTTAAAAATGACAGATTTACCAATTGACCTACAAATGGCTCCATTGAAAAGGTCTACTATTTTTCTACTTGGTAACTATTTAACTAAAAGATGAACTCTTAACTTTAATTTAGCAATGGGGTGGGTGGGTTTGCCCCGTTTTCGTTGTTGAAACCGATTGGAAAAGATTTCATTGTGGATCCAGAAAATGTTAACTGTGAACTCTTCAAGGTGGTTTATCAATAAAAAACTAAAAATAAGATACCTCAAATTTCAGTCTGATCTCACTTGTCCTTCAAGCACCAAATATTCAAGTTTCGTCGGGGGTGATCCCGGGAACACCGAAAATGATGACTATTTTCTTGCTGATGGAATGTTAGTTTGTTTGATTCATTAATCCAACCGTCATTTCTATTTCTCTCAAGAAACCTTTTAGCTCTGATGAACTGAAAATTCAAACAAGAGGCTCGGTCACTAGCTTGTTCACAAAAGAGAAATGCAGCTTTTGTCTTCAATTTGATACAAGAAATGCGGGTAAGTAAAAAGAAAGTAAGATAACTTATTGACAATTCAGCTCTTTGGTTTTTTCAAGAACCCGAGCTTGGGGCCCTATAACTTTCTTCCAAAAAATGGAACATTTGATTCGGTTGAGAAAATTTAGAGATGCATATCAATCGCTTCTCTACCTGGATGTCACCCTATCAACCATGGCCAATTGATCACATCGAACAAGTTCAACAGGCATCTAAATGTCATGAAATAAAGGCAGATACAACAAATTATGTGAGAGTTTCAAATCGAATGCTGGAAATATACCCTTGTTTAGCCATCAGATCTCAAACCAAATTTGACAATGGAATTTCAAAGGTTTAAAGGTGGAAACTTGACCCTTCGAGGATTTTTGTCGCCGAATAACTCGAATTGCTGGAACAACAAATCAAATTTTGAGAAAAAGTAGTACAATCTTTGGGTTTTCTTTTTGCAACAAATTTTCAGCTTTACAACAATGCCAGAGAAGGGAAAAAAGTTTTTTTTTGAGGCTGCTTGTGTCCAGGTAAGAGATTCACTGTGACTGAACAGTTATAGAGAATATTTTCAGGCCATTTGGTGCCCTGAGAATCCGGTTCCTGATGTTTATGGATATCAAATGACGATGAGAGAAGATTATTTGAGTACATTTGAAACGACAACAACACAAACAACGATATTGCCGACTACAACCACAATACCAACCACGACCACTACAACCACAACACCACGAACTAAAACACCAACAATTACAACACCAGCCACTACAACTCCAACAAATAAAACACCAATAACTACAACTCCAACAACTACAACACCAACAACTACAACTCCAGCCACCACCACACCAACAACTAACACTCCAACAATTACAACTTCAACAACTACAACTACAACTCATACACCTAAAACTCCAACAACTACAACACCAGCCACTACCACACCAACAACTACAACAACTACAACTCCAACAACCCCAACAACTACAACTCCAACAACTACAGCTCCAACAACTACACGACCAGCCACTTCAACTCCAACAACTACAACTCCAACAACTACAACTCCAACAACTACAACTCCAACAACTACAACCCCAACAACTACAACTCCAACAATTACACGACCAGCGACTTCAACTCCAACAACTACACGACGTGCCACTTCAACTCCAACAACGACCACGCCAACAACCACAACTCCAACAACTACAACACCAGCCACTACCACACCAACAACTACAACAACTACAACTCCAACAACCCCAACAACTACAACTCCAACAACTACAACTCCAACAACTACAACTCCAACAACTACAGCTCCAACAACTACACGACCAGCCACTTCAACTCCAACAACTACTACCCCAACAATTTCAACTCCAACAACTTCACGACCAGCGACTTCAACTCCATCAACTACAACTCCAACAACCCCAACAACTACAACCCCAACAACTACAGCTCCAACAACTACACGACCAGCAACTTCAACTCCAACAACTACAACTCCAACAACTACAACTCCAACAACTACAACTCCAACAACTACAACTCCAATAACTACCACTCCAACAACTACAACTCCAACGACTACACGACCAGCGACTTCAACTCCAACAACTACAACTCCAACAACTACAACTCCAACCCCAACAACTACAACTCCAACAACTACACGACCAGCGACTTCAACTCCCACAACTACACGACCTGCCACTTCAACTCCAACAACGACAACGCCAACAACTACAACTCCAACAACTACAACACCAGCCACTAACACACCAACAACTACAACAACTACAACTCCAACAACCCCAACAACTACAACTCCAACAACTACAACTCCAACAACTACACGACCAGCCACTTCAACTCCCACAACTACACGACCTGCCACTTCAACTCCAACAACTACAACTCCAACAACTACACGACCAGCGACTTCAACTCCAACAACTACACGACGTGCCACTTCAACTCCAACAACGACCACGCCAACAACCACAACTCCAACAACTACAACACCAGCCACTACCACACCAACAACTACAACAACTACAACTCCAACAACTACAACTCCAACAACTACACGACCAGCCACTTCAACTCCCACAACTACACGACCTGCCACTTCAACTCCAACAACTACAATTCCAACAACTACAGCTCCAACAACTACACGACCAGCCACTTCAACTCCAACAACTACTACCCCAACAACTATAACTCCAACAACTACACGACCAGCCACTTCAACTCCAACAACTTCAACTCCAACAACTTCACGACCAGCGACTTCAACTCCAACAACTACAACTCCAACAACCCCAACAACTACAACCCCAACAACTACAGCCCCAACAACTACACGACCAGCCACTTCAACTCCAACAACTACAACTCCAACAACTACAACTCCAACCCCAACAACTACAACTCCCACAACTACACGACCTGCCACTTCAACTCCAACAACTACAACTCCAACAATTACACGACCAGCGACTTCAACTCCAACAACTACACGACGTGCCACTTCAACTCCAACAACGACCACGCCAACAACCACAACTCCAACAACTACAACACCAGCCACTACCACACCAACAACTACAACAACTACAACTCCAACAACCCCAACAACTACAACTCCAACAACTACAACTCCAACAACTACACGACCAGCCACTTCAACTCCAACAACTACAACTCCAACAACTTCAACTCCAACAACTACACGACCAGCGACTTCAACCCCCACAACTACACGACCTGCCACTTCAACTCCAACAACTACAACTCCAACAACTACCACCACAACAACTACAACTCCAACCACTACAACGCCAACCACTACAACTCCAACAACTACAACTCCAACAACTACACGACCAGGGACTTCAACTCCAACAACTAAAACTCCAACAACTAAAACTCCAACAACTACAACTCCAACCCCAACAACTACAACTCCAACCACTACACGACCAGCCACTTCAACTCCAACAATGACAACGCCAACAACTACAACTCCAACAACTACAACTTCAACAACTACACGACCAGCCACTTCAACTCCAACAACTACAACTCGAACAACTTCAACTCGAACAACTTCAACTCCAACAACTACAACCCCAACAACTACAACTCCAACAACTACAACTTCAACAACTACACGACCTGCCACTTCAACTCCAACAATTACAACCCCAACAACTACAACTCCAACAACTACAACTTCAACAACTACACGACCGGCCACTTCGACTCCAACAACTACAACTCCAACAACTACAACACCAGCCACTACAACTCCAACAACTACAACGCCAACAACTACAACGCCAACAACTACAACTCCAGCAACTACACGACCAGCCACTTCGACTCCAACAACTACAACTCCAACAACTACACGACCTGCCACTTCAACTCCAACAACTACAACTCCAACAACTACCACCACAACAACTACAACTCCAACCACTACAACGCCAACCACTACAACTCCAACAACTACAACTCCAACAACTACACGACCAGGGACTTCAACTCCAACAACTAAAACTCCAACAACTAAAACTCCAACAACTACAACTCCAACCCCAACAACTACAACTCCAACCACTACACGACCAGCCACTTCAACTCCAACAATGACAACGCCAACAACTACAACTCCAACAACTACAACTTCAACAACTACACGAGCAGCCACTTCAACTCCCACAACTACACGACCTGCCACTTCAACTCCAACAATTACAACCCCAACAACTACAACTCCAACAACTACAACTTCAACAACTACACGACCGGCCACTTCGACTCCAACAACTACAACTCCAACAACTACAACACCAGCCACTACAACTCCAACAACTACAACGCCAACAACTACAACGCCAACAACTACAACTCCAGCAACTACACGACCAGCCACTTCGACTCCAACAACTACAACTCCAACAACTACAACACCAGCCACTACAACTCCAACAACTACAACGCCAACAACTACAACTCCAACAATTACAACCCCAACAACCCCAACTCCAACAACTACACGACCAGCCACTTCAACTCCAACAACTACAACTCCAACAACTTCAACTCCAACAACTACCACCCCAACAACTACAACTCCAACAACTACAACTTCAACAACTACACGACCAGCCACTTCAACTCCAACAACTACAACTCCAACAACTTCAACTCCAACAACTACCACCCCAACAACTACAACTCCAACAACTACAACTCCAACAACTACGCGACCAGCCACTTCAACACCAACAACTACCACCACAACAACTACAACTCCAACCACTACAACTCCAACAACTACACGACCAGCCACTTCAACTCCAACAACTACAACTCCAACAACTTCAACTCCAACAACTACAACTCCAACAACTACAACTCCAACAACTACAATTCCAACAACTACAACTCCAACAACTACCATCCCAACAACTACCATCCCAACAACTACAACTCCAACAACTACACGACTAGCCACTTCAACTCCAACAACTACAACTCCAACAACTACAACTCCAACAACTTCAACTCCAACAACTACAACTCCAACAACTACAACGCCAACAACTACAACTCCAACAACTACAATTCCAACAACTACAACTCCAACAACTACACGACCAGCCACTTCAACTCCAACAACTACAACTCCAACAACTTCAACTCCAACAACTACAACTCCAACAACTACAACTCCAACAACTACAACTCCAACAACTACAACTCCAACAACTACAATTCCAACAACTACAACTCCAACAACTACCATCCCAACAACTACAACTCCAACAACTACACGACCAGCCACTTCGACTCCAACAACTACAACTTCAACAACTACAACTCCAACAACTATAACTACAACTATAGCATCTTCAACAACGGTTGATTCAACTACTGCTGTGACAAGTCAAGTAACTGAAGCTAGAACTGGAACGTCGGAACAAACCACAACCGGATCTGTAACAACAGAACTAACCACTTCAGTAACTAGGGGAATTGCCAATGCAGCCGAAACTTCAAGTCCAACCACAGCTAGAATGAACTCTGAAAGTCCGACAACTGGAGCAGCAACATCGGAAATTTCAACGACAGAGATGACAACTTCAGGATCAACATCTGAACTGACAACTGAGGTTACAACGGCAGGTATGACATCTACGGGTACAACAGCTGGTGCTACCACGGAAGCTGTTACAACGGAAGGCTTGAGCTCCACAGCTGGTCGGACGTCTGCGGATACAACAACAGAAGCTTCTACTGAACCAACAACTGTTGCGACTTCAACTGCTAATCCAAGCACAACAGCAACGAGTTTTACAACAACGATGCAAGCAACAAGTACCGGGGTTGAGACAACGACGGCTGGTTCCTCTACGATGTCAACATCATCAATTACGACGGAAACAACAGCACAAGAAAGTACAACTGATTTGACTACAACTGCAACTACTGGTGAAATGACGAAAATATTGACGACAACAACTGAACAAACAACGAGAACAGGCTCACTAACATCCACTGCAATGGCCACAACTGGAACGATGGCAACAGGAAGTCCAAATGAAGTCTCGGGAACAAACCCCTGGACCACAGCGTTGAGCTCAACAACAACTGCAGAGGCAACGACGATGAAGTTGACTACAACAACCCAACTTGCGAGTACGGCGGTAGAGACGACAGAATCAGCCACCTTGACGACGACCGAGCTATCCACTACAACCGGAGCAACAACTGAAGGCACAACAACAGAGAGCATGACATCTACAAGTGAAACTTCAGTTACTGGTCTGTCTACTATAACTGCTCCTTCGACTACCACAACCGATCTTCCAACTACGACAACTGAAGTGCCAACAACAAGTAGAACAGCCACTGAAGGCACAATCTCTATAGGTAAATCTACGACAATTGATTTGATGACTATAACAGTCACTACAACCAAAATCCCAACAACAAGAGGAACCATAACATCTACGAGTGAATCTACTTCTACTACAGCTGAACCTTTGACTACCACAATCGACCTTACGACTACAACAACAGAGCTTCCCATCACAAGCCTCTCCACTATAACCGACGCTCCAAGTACAGTGCCAACAACAGCGACAGAAGTTACAACGTCTACAAGCGAATCTACAACTACTATGCTTTCTACTACAACTGAGCCGTTGATAACCACAACCACTTCTCCAACTACAACAACAGAGCCTGCGGTCACAGGCCTTACCAGTACAACGAATTCTCCCACTACGGCAACCGAAATGCCAGCAACAATCGATGCAACATCTACAAGTGCAGCTACAACTACTGAGCTTTCTACCACAACAACTGATTCTCCAACTACGATAACGGAAGTGCTAACAACAAGTACAACAACAGAAATCACAACCTCGACCTCGGTGCCCACAACGACAACGGAAGAGCCTACAACAATTACGGCAGAAACGACTACTGAAGCAACAGGGACAGACAAACCGAAAAACATCTTTTCACGCTATAAATGGGCATGGATCGGTGCTGGGATTGCGTTGATTGTTGGAATTGGAATCATTTTGGTCATTGTTTTGGTTCGAGTCTGGTAATTTGATTACAGTTTTTGGTGAAATGAAATTAATTCCAGCCGAGGTTTACCCACTGTTTCATCTGCTTTCAATCGCAATCTAAACATGAACACAGATGATATGGAATGGGTAGTAGCTAATGGACTTTTTTAATAATCAATTGTGAAAAGTTTAGGCACGGCACAGAAGATCGCAAATCAGTGTTGAGAACTGGACCTGAAACTTGGTCTATTGAATTTTAGCCATTACCCCATCATCATTTTTAAAAGAACTTTATCATTGTCATTGTTTTTTGCATCTTCTTGTTTAATTTTTGGCTTTTATTAAACTCTTTTTGAAACATTTGATAAAGTATTTATTTAAATCAAACGAATAAATTATTAAAACCCTGATTAAAAAAAAAACAATTATAATTCAGCAAATCGAAGTGAGCTTATTTTCAGTCCAGTTAAGCTTAAATCATTTGAATCGACTGGAATCAGATTTTCTGTTCCGTCACATCCAATTGGTCTCAAGATTTTGGTTAGAGTTTCGACAATTTCAGGTTCAAAGTGGCCTTCGTTGGGTAACTAAACACAATTTTTATAAACTCTTTGAAAAATCTCACATCACTCAGGGATTTCATTGTTTGATAAGTTTCTTTGTGAGTTGGTCGCTGATCCGGAAGCGCCTTTGCACATCTGAATTTGTTTCTTTTTCTCAAATCTCAGAAAGCAATCTACCGAGCTATCAAATTCTTCAAAATCTCTGCATCACATTGAACTTGCTCTAACTCATAAAGACCATTCCAGAAATCGTGGAAGAAAGTGGGTGATTAAAGTTTGTCGGACCGAATTTAGAGTGAACCAACCTAAACGAGCTCGTATTTTAAAAAAAGCCCCTTTAAACCTTCTCTCAACGATTTCCCATAAAACCAATCCAGCCGAATACACATCGATTTGAGCAGTTGGTTTCTAGACTCATCTCATTGAAAATGAGCTATTAGAAGCAAACTTGACGTGGTCCTCTTGGCGGATATCCATAAACTTCAGGGCTCATATATCGATAGGTTCCAACACAAGAAACTAATGATGTTGAAGTTTCCATATCCCGTACAAGACCGAAATCTGCTAACTTCAAGACGAAGTTCTGCTTGACCAAAACACTAAAAATTTAATTTGCTTGATAGTTCATTTAACAAACTTTTCTGGTTTAAAATCTCGATGTAGCATGGCGGCTCGTTGAAGACAAAGAAGTGCATCGAATAGCTGTTCGCCCGAACAAAACACCGTTTTCATCGAATAAACGATTATTGGATCATTCAGGACTGAAACTTTAGATTTTAGTGTTATTAGTTGGTTCATAACTTCACTCTAGATCTGACGGATTTCTAGATCGGATGTAACAGATCTAAGTTACGTCCGAATAAGAATGTCTTCAAATCGTCGGATTAAGAGTTTATCGAAACAATTGTGTAAAAATGTGAAATGCTCAATGCGAAATAATGCAAAATCTTTTTTTCAGGCATGTACTAGTGTTTTCTTTATGGGTGTTATATTGAACCATCAGCAGGCAAACAGGTCGTCTTTTCCCTTTAATAGGTGCTAAAGGTATCCTGAAAAGAAAGAAAATTAAGAAAAGAGTAAAAACTTATTTCTACCAGTTAAAAAAAAATGTAAAAAGACCTTAATATAAGCGTTTGCGACTACAAAATTTCGGTGAATCAATTTGCAATTAGGTTAAATTATTTCTTGCGCTAACTATCAAAACTAACATTATTAGATATTCAGGCAGATTTGCATTGAGCATTTCACATTTTTACACAATTGATTCGATAAATTCTTAATCAGACGTAACATATATAAAAGAGCAGTGTCCGTCCATCTCTACCAGCTTTTTCTCAGCCGTCTTTGGGCCAAAAAAACTACAATTTTTTTAAAAGTTTAAAATATAATATATTGGGTTGGGGAGAATGAGTCGGCGCCGAAAATGAAAAAAATGTCTAAAACTTCTATTCGACTTCGTCAAATAATATGCGTTTGATATCAGTAGAATGGTTAACTAATTCTCTACAAAATGACATTTAAAAGAAAATTCAAACAGCGCCTCCGCTCAAGAAAAAAGCCATTTTTTCACAAAAACTACAAACTGTGATCTAGAAAAAACCATTGGTGGGATCTTCCTGCAAATTTGGCAACTTAAGTAATTGAATGTGCTCTATCTTTTTTATATAAACACCAAAGAAGGTTTATGTGAAAGAAACTGTTCAAATGATGAGTCGGACTCTTTGCCATTTTAACCAGCTGCGTTTGGAAGTTCATAAACTCCACGAAAGAAAAGCTTTGTGGAATCTCTCAAAAGTCATTTTGTAGAGAAATAGTGGATCCTTTTGATGAAACCAAACGTATGTTTAAAGAAGGCTTTATGTGTGCAAAAAGTCCCTTTAAAGTTTGGCGCCGACTCATTCTCCCCAACCCAATAGTTGTGCCGATTGGTCCTAACAAATTTGTTTGTTCTTCAATACTCTGTGGCTCAAATGAATCTTCTTTTGTTAGCTAAGCTGGTTGTCTTTATATTCTAATCTAATTTTCGATACCATATTTAGGTGTTCAATTATTTGAGAGCATTCTTCGATGCTTGGTCGTTGATCAAGAGAAACATCAACACATCTGAATTTCTTTTGTGATGAATAAAAGCTTACTTGAAGTAGCTTTATAGGGGTAGGATAATTTCCGTCATTTTATTTGCGTAACTGGGTATTTTGCGCCATTCGCCATAACTTTCTTCTAAGTGGGCCAATCTTTAGAATTTTGGTCTGATTTTGTTGCACTTATTGAGTTCTACAAAATCACACCAAAATCATAAAGAAAGTTATGGCGAGTTGCGCAAATGAAATGGCGGAAATTAGCCTATCCTGCTTTATATTTATTTCGTATTTATTCTAATAACTGCCTCATCTAGACAACGATCGAAAAAATAACTGCCGCGGCAGTTATTAGAGAGCGACAGTACCCACTGCTTGAAAATACCTAAGACAAATTTCTTTGGATTCTTTTATTTAGCTACCTAGTTGCTAGTTTTCATTTTTTACTGCTTTATAATGCTTTTTTACTGCTTAATCACTTGATTTTATCTTCACTAAATTTTTTAAATTTAGGTGCGTCAACGATGAGGAACCAAACGACAAAACAGAAGCTGAAATCATACGACGCGACTTTCAAACTTGAGGCGATTGGATATGCAAAGAAAATCAGCAACCGAGAAGCTGGACACCATTTTGGAGAGGATGAAAAACAAATTCGATTATGGCGATCACGAGAGGAGAAACTTTCGACGTCGAACAAAAAATCATAAAGACTATCTGGAGGGGGACATCGCCTTTTGGCATCGAAATTCGAAATTTTTGTCATTTATCAATGGATTCTACAAAAACGACAAGAGAAGCTTTATGATTTCCTGCAAAATGCTTCAGAACCAAGCACGTGACATCGAATGTACCCGATCAAGAAAGTGACTTCAAAGAAGATTATTAAAGAAAATTCCTCACTTTTAATGGTTTGTTGTTATCTTTTTGTTATTGTATTTTTGTTAATTTTGTTAAACTTGTTACCTGTTAATTAATTCTTATTAAATAAATTGTTTAAATTTAAAAGGTGGCATAAAAGGGTTTGGGTTCTTACCTATCTAAATACCTATCAACATCATTTTCCTTGACCAAAAAAATAAATGCTGCCCTTTAATAAGTACCGCATCTACTAAGCAATAGAAAAAAATAACTGCCGCGGCAGTTATTAGAATAAATACGGTATGCAAGTTTTGGCAAAACCAACCGCGCTATCAAGTTCTTCAATCCTTCGTTGACACATTCAACTTCTTCCAATTTATAAATGCCATTGCGCAAATCATGAAACATAGACATGTCGTCGAACGGCCCAGAATTATATTCACAATATTGTAAGTAAGCCAATCTGAGTTGTCTGGTAAAAATATTAGGTTGTCGGATTATGAATTGCCGTTTTTATCAAAAAGTAATTTTATTATAAAATCAATACAAAAATATTTTAATCTAAAAGGTATTTTCCATCGGTATCTATGACATCTCGCCAACGTCCACGCAAAGAATGAATGCTCTTGTTGAAGAACTCGACCGGCTGTGACTCAAAGAAATTGGCCACCCAAATTTGGCCTTCATCGCGGTTTTTGAATTTTTTTTTCGGCCAAGGAATGCTGCATCGACCGGAACAAATGGTAATCAGATGGCGCAAGGTCTGGGCTCTATGGCGGGTGAGGCAGAAGTTCCCAGCCCAATTCTTCAATTTTTTTCAGAGTTACTTTTGCGGTGTGTGGACGCGCGTTGTCATCGAGCAATTTTGTTGACGCTGTTTCCACTCCCTGTCGACGAAGCGATTGATCGACGCGGCTTAATTGTTCTTTGTAGAGGTCCGCATTAACCGTTTGACCAGAATTTAGCACTTCAAAATGCACCAATCCTTTGCTATTCCACCAAACACATAGCATCACCTTTTTGCCATGGATGTCTGGTTTTGGAGTCGGTTTTGGGGTTTGTCCAGGGTCCAACCATTGTCGTTTTCTAGTGGTATTATCAAAGGATATCCACTTTTCATCAGACGTGACAATCGACTCAAAAAAACCACTGTTCTTGGCTTGACGCAAAAGAATTCCGGCCATATTGATTCGCGTTGTTTTGTTCAAATCGCTTAGTTCATGAGGCACCCATTTACCGCATTTATTCACCTTACCAATGGCATGCAAGTGGTCAGCAATGGTGGAATGATGACAACCGAACCTCTCAGCAAGTTCTCGTGTCGTTTGGGCAGGATCAGAATCGATGGCTGCTTTAAGTTCCTCATCGTCCACAGTTTTTGGTCGCCTCTCATGTTCTTTGTCTTCAAGGCTCTCGTCGCCGTCCCGAAAGCGCTGAAACCAATTGCGACATTGACGTTCGTTGATAACATCTTCTCCGAATGCATTGCTTATAGAGCGATGGGATTCTGCCGCTGTTTTTCTTTGTTTGAAGTCGTACAACAAACAAATCCGCATTTTATTTTTGATGTCGTTCATTTCCTAAGAAAAATTTATATTAAAAATCTAAGCAAATATAGACGAATAATATATCAATCGACGCGGCATAAAACGCTCTTTAATATAGTTTAAAAAGTACCACAAAAATTTATTTGAAAAAAAATACAAAGCAAAAAAGACAGCGGCAATTCATAATCCGACAACCTAATAGATAGCTTTTAAGAAAACCTTCTTTCAACGATCTCCCATAACACTATTCCCATCGAATATAAAGCAGCTAAATTAGTTATCTGAATATCTTGATAGTTTAGAAATTAGTTTTGTAAACCAAAAGCTTTTCCCCATAAGAATATCGATAAACTTCTGGGCAAATGTAACGATAAGTTCCAACAAACGTAAATGATGTTTCATCAGAAACAGGGCGAACATATCCAAAGTCCGTCAATTTCAAGATGGTTTTTTTTCACCAAAATACTAAAAAATTCATGAGCTACTATAAAGTTCTTATAGAGATAAGGAAAGAACCTACTTGCTAGGTTTGATATCACGATGTATCATTTATATTCTCTGAAGACAAACCAGAGCTTGAATTAAGTTTCTCGCCCAGCAAAGAACAGTTTTCATCGAATAAACAATCGTTGGATCGCCCAAAACTGAACTTGTTTATCTTTGTTTGGTTAATGACTCAAAAGGGATTTAAAAATCATTTAATTTGTTACAAATGTGAGAAATACAGAGTGGTGCACAATTCTGGAAACTCGGTTTTTCGACTGTAACTCGACGCCCAATTATTCAATTCCCCTACTTTCATATTTATATGAAAGTATTGAACAATGTTTGGATGGTGAATCTTTTATTAATCCATTAAGATTTTTTAAAGAATAATTTATTGCCATTTATTAAAATGCGATCCGCTTGCACACAGCGTTCAAGTACAAATAGCTACACTCAAGGTCATCCCAATTCCCGACCTCGTACCAAGCTGGTGGATTCACAATGTTTGAGCTAAGCACCTGAAAATTTGATTGTACAATTGTTGGCGTTATTTATTTTTAGTTTTCAGC